AGTTCATTTTTGAGGCGACTCAAAAATCGAGGAGAATGGGGTTTGAAGGGGTGGAGTTCATTTTTGAGCGACTAAAAAATCGAGGAGAATGGGGTTTCGAAGGGGTGGAGTTCATTTTTGAGTCGACTAAAAAATCGAGAATGGGGTTTGAAGGGGTGGAGTTCATTTTTGAGGCGACTCAAAAATCGAGGAGAATGGGTGTTGAAGGGGTGGAGTTCATTTTTGAGGCGACTAAAAAAAAGGAGAATGGGGTTTGAAGGGGTGGAGTTCATTTTTGAGGCGACTCAAAAATCGAGGAGAATGGGGTTTGAAGGGGTGGAGTTCATTTTTGAGGCGACTCAAAAATCGAGGAGAATGGGGTTTGAAGGGGTGGAGTTCATCTTTGAGTCGACTAAAAAATCGAGGAGAATGGGGTTTGAAGGGGTGGAGTTCATTTTTGAGGCGACTAAAAAATCGAGAGAGAATGGGGTTCGAAGGGGTGGAGTTCATTTTTGAGTCGACTAAAAATCGAGAATGGGTTTGAAGGGGTGGAGTTCATTTTTGAGGCGACTCAAAAATCGAGGAGAATGGGGTTTGAAGGGGTGGAGTTCATTTTTGAGTCGACTGAAAAAACGAGAATGGGGTTTGAAGGGGTGGAGTTCATTTTTGAGGCGACTCAAAAATCGAGGAGAATGGGGTTTGAAGGGGTGGAGTTCATTTTTGAGTCGACTAAAAATCGAGGAGAATGGGGTTTGAAGGGTGGAGTTCATTTTTGAGGCGACTCAAAAATCGAGGAGAATGGGGTTTGAAGGGGTGGAGTTCATTTTTGAGTCGACTAAAAAATCGAGGAGAATGGGGTTTGAAGGGGTGGAGTTCATTTTTGAGGCGACTCAAAAATCGAGGAGAATGGGGTTTGAAGGGGTGGAGTTCATTTTTGAGGCGACTAAAAATCGAGGAGAATGGGGTTTGAAGGGGTGGAGTTCATTTTTGAGGCGACTCAAAAATCGAGGAGAATGGGGTTTGAAGGGGTGGAGTTCATTTTTGAGCGACTCAAAAATCGAGGAGAATGGGTTTGAAGGGGTGGAGTTCATTTTTGAGTCGACTCAAAAATCGAGAATGGGGTTTGAAGGGGTGGAGTTCATTTTTGAGGCGACTCAAAAATCGAGGAGAATGGGGTTTGAAGAGGTGGAGTTCATTTTTGAGTCGACTAAAAAATCGAGGAGAATGGGGTTCGAAGGGGTGGAGTTCATTTTTGAGTCGACTAAAAAATCGAGAATGGGGTTTGAAGGGTGGAGTTCATTTTTGAGGCGACTCAAAAATCGAGGAGAATGGGGTTTGAAGGGGTGGAGTTCATTTTTGAGTCGACTCAAAAATCGAGGAGAATGGGGTTCGAAGGGGTGGAGTTCATTTTTGAGTCGACTAAAAAATCGAGAGAATGGGGTTTGAAGGGGTGGAGTTCATTTTTGAGGCGACTCAAAAATCGAGGAGAGAATGGGGTTTGAAGGGGTGGAGTTCATTTTTGAGTCGACTCGAGGAGAATGGGGTTTGAAGGGGTGGAGTTCATTTTTGAGTCGACTCAAAAATCGAGAATGGGGTTTGAAGGGGTGGAGTTCATTTTTGAGGCGACTCAAAAATCGAGGAGAATGGGTTTGAAGGGGTGGAGTTCATTTTTGAGTCGACTCGAGGAGAATGGGGTTTGAAGGGGTGGAGTTCATTTTTGAGTCGACTCAAAAATCGAGAATGGGGGTTGAAGGGGTGGAGTTCATTTTTGAGGCGACTCAAAAATCGAGGAGAATGGGGTTTGAAGGGGTGGAGTTTATTTTTGAGTCGACTAAAAAATCGAGGAGAATGGGGTTCGAAGGGGTGGAGTTCATTTTTGAGTCGACTAAAAAATCGAGAATGGGGTTTGAAGGGGTGGAGTTCATTTTGAGGCGACTCAAAAATCGAGGAGAATGGGGTTTGAAGGGGTGGAGTTCATTTTTGAGGCGACTCAAAAATCGAGGAGAATGGGGTTTGAAGGGGTGGAGTTCATTTTTGAGGCGACTCAAAAAATCGAGGAGAATGGGGTTTGAAGGGGTGGAGTTCATTTTGAGGCGACTCAAAAATCGAGGAGAATGGGGTTTGAAGGGGTGGAGTTCATTTTTGAGTCGACTCAAAAATCGAGGAGAATGGGGTTTGAAGGGGTGGAGTTCATTTTTGAGGCGACTCAAAAATCGAGAATGGGGTTTGAAGGGTGGAGTTCATTTTTGAGGCGACTCAAAAATCGAGGAGAATGGGGTTTGAAGGGGTGGAGTTCATTTTTGAGGCGACTCAAAAATCGAGGAGAATGGGGTTCGAAGGGGTGGAGTTCATTTTTGAGTCGACTAAAAAATCGAGGAGAATGGGGTTTGAAGGGGTGGAGTTCATTTTTGAGGCGACTCAAAAAATCGAGGAGAATGGGGTTCGAAGGGGTGGAGTTCATTTTTGAGGCGACTCAAAAAATCGGAGAATGGGGTTTGAAGGGGTGGAGTTCATTTTTGAGGCGACTCAAAATCGAGAGAATGGGGTTTGAAGGGGTGGAGTTCATTTTTGAGGCGACTCAAAAATCGAGGAGAATGGGTTTGAAGGGGTGGAGTTCATTTTTGAGGCGACTCAAAAAATCGAGGAGAATGGGGGTTTGAAGGGGTGGAGTTCATTTTTGAGGCGACTCAAAAATCGAGGAGAATGGGGTTTGAAGGGGTGGAGTTCATTTTTGAGTCGACTAAAAAATCGAGGAGAATGGGGTTTGAAGGGGTGGAGTTCATTTTTGAGGTCGACTAAAAAACGAGGAGAATGGGGTTTGAAGGGGTGGAGTTCATTTTTGAGGCGACTCAAAAATCGAGGAGAATGGGGTTTGAAGGGGTGGAGTTTCATTTTTTGAGTCGACTAAAAAATCGAGTGAGAATGGGGTTTGAAGGGGTGGAGTTCATTTTTGACGGCCGACTCCAAAATCGAGGAGAATGGGGTTTCTTTGAAGGGGTGGAGTTCATTTTTGAGGCGACTCAAAATCGAGAGAATGGGTTTGACAGGGGTGGAGTTCATTTTTGAGGCGACTCAAAATCGAGGAGAATGGGGTTTGAAGGGGTGGAGTTCACTTTTTTAGAGCGACTAAAAATCGAGGAGAATGGGGTTCGAAGGGGTGGAGTTCATTTTTGAGGCGACTAAAAAATCGAGGAGAATGGGGTTTGAAGGGGTGGAGTTCATTTTTGAGGCGACTCAAAAATCGAGGAGAATGGGTTTGAATGGGTGGAGTTCATTTTGAGTCGACTAAAAATCGAGGAGAATGGGGTTTTGAAGGGTGGAGTTCATTTTTGAGGCGACTCAAAAATCGAGGAGAATGGGGTTTGAAGGGGAAGGGGTGGAGTTCATTTGAGGCGACTCAAAAATCGAGGAGAATGGGGTTTGAAGGGGTGGAGTTCATTTTTGAGGCGACTCAAAAATCGAGGAGAATGGGTTTGAAGGGGTGGAGTTCATTTTTGAGGCGACTCAAAAATCGAGGAGAATGGGGTTTGAAGGGGTGGAGTTCTTTTTGAGGCGACTCACAAAATCGAGGAGAATGGGGTTTGAAGGGGTGGAGTTCATTTTGAGGCGACTCAAAAATCGAGGAGAATGGGGTTTGAAGGGGTGGAGTTCATTTTTGAGGCGACTCAAAAATCGAGAGAATGGGGTTTGAAGGGGTGGAGTTCATTTTTGAGGCGACTCAAAAATCGAGAGAATGGGGTTTGAAGGGGTGGAGTTCATTTTTGAGGCGACTCAAAAAATCGAGGAGAATGGGGTTTGAAGGGGTGGAGTTCATTTTTGAGGCGACTCAAAAATCGAGGAGAATGGGGTTTGAAGGGGTGGAGTTCATTTTTGAGGCGACCTCAAAAATCGAGGAGAATGGGGTTTGAAGGGGTGGAGTTCATTTTTGAGGCGACTCAAAAATCGAGGAGAATGGGGTTTGAAGGGGTGGAGTTCATTTTTGAGGCGACTCAAAATCGAGGAGAATGGGTTTGAAGGGTGGAGTTCATTTTTGAGGCGACTCAAAAATCGAGGAGAATGGGGTTTGAAGGGGTGGAGTTCATTTTTGAGTCGACTCAAAAATCGAGGAGAATGGGGTTTGAAGGGGTGGAGTTCATTTTTGAGGCGACTCAAAAAATCGAGGAGAATGGGGTTTGAAGGGGTGGAGTTCATTTTTGAGGCGACTCAAAAATCGAGGAGAATGGGGTTTGAAGGGGTGGAGTTCATTTTTGAGGCGACTCAAAAATCGAGGAGAATGGGGTTTGAAGGGGTGGAGTTCATTTTTGAGGCGACTCAAAAATCGAGGAGAATGGGGTTTGAAGGGGTGGAGTTCATTTTTGAGGCGACTCAAAAATCGAGGAGAATGGGGTTTGAAGGGGTGGAGTTCATTTTTGGAGGCGACTCCAAAATCGAGGAGACTGGGTTTTGAAGGGGTGGAGTTCATTTTTGAGGCGACTCAAAAATCGAGGAGAATGGGGTTTGAAGGGGGTGGAGTTCATTTTTGAGGCGACTCAAAATCGAGGAGAATGGGTTTGAAGGGGTGGAGTTCATTTTTGAGGCGACTCAAAAATCGAGGAGAATGGGGTTCGAAGGGTGGAGTTCATTTTGAGTCGACTAAAAATCGAGGAGAATGGGGTTGAAGGGGTGGAGTTCATTTTGAGGCGACTCAAAAATCGAGGAGAATGGGGTCTTGAAGGGGTGGAGTTCATTTTTGAGGCGACTAAAAAATCGAGGAGAATGGGGTTTGAAGGGGTGGAGTTCATTTTGAGGCGACTCAAAATCGAGGAGAATGGGTTTGAAGGGGTGGAGTTCATTTTTGAGGCGACTCAAAAATCGAGGAGAATGGGGTTTGAAGGGGTGGAGTTCATTTTTGAGGCGACTCAAAAATCGAGGAGAATGGGGTTTGAAGGGGTGGAGTTCATTTTTGAGGCGACTCAAAAATCGAGGAGAATGGGGTTTGAAGGGGTGGAGTTCATTTTGAGGCGACTCAAAAATCGAGGAGAATGGGGTTTGAAGGGGTGGAGTTCATTTTTGAGGCGACTCAAAAATCGAGGAGAATGGGGTTTGAAGGGGTGGAGTTCATTTTTGAGGCGACTCAAAAATCGAGGAGAATGGGGTTTGAAGGGGTGGAGTTCATTTTTGAGGCGACTCAAAAATCGAGGAGAATGGGGTTTGAAGGGGTGGAGTTCATTTTTGAGTCGACTCAAAAATCGAGGAGAATGGGTTTGAAGGGGTGGAGTTCATTTTTGAGGTCGACTCAAAAATCGAGGAGAATGGGGTTTGAAGGGGTGGAGTTCATTTTTGAGGCGACTCAAAAATCGAGGAGAATGGGGTTTGAAGGGGTGGAGTTCATTTTTGAGGCGACTCAAAAATCGAGGAGAATGGGGTTTGAAGGGGTGGAGTTCATTTTTGAGGCGACTCAAAAATCGAGGAGAATGGGGTTTGAAGGGGTGGAGTTCATTTTTGAGGCGACTCAAAAATCGAGGAGAATGGGGTTTGAAGGGGTGGAGTTCATTTTTGAGGCGACTCAAAAATCGAGGAGAATGGGGTTTGAAGGGGTGGAGTTCATTTTTGAGGCGACTCAAAAATCGAGGAGAATGGGGTTTGAAGGGGTGGAGTTCATTTTTGAGGCGACTCAAAAATCGAGGAGAATGGGGTTTGAAGGGGTGGAGTTCATTTTTGAGGCGACTCAAAAATCGAGGAGAATGGGGTTTGAAGGGGTGGAGTTCATTTTTGAGGCGACTCAAAAATCGAGGAGAATGGGGTTTGAAGGGGTGGAGTTCATTTTTGAGGCGACTCAAAAATCGAGGAGAATGGGGTTTGAAGGGGTGGAGTTCATTTTTGAGGCGACTCAAAAATCGAGGAGAATGGGGTTTGAAGGGGTGGAGTTCATTTTTGAGGCGACTCAAAAATCGAGGAGAATGGGGTTTGAAGGGGTGGAGTTCATTTTTGAGGCGACTCAAAAATCGAGGAGAATGGGGTTTCGAAGGGGTGGAGTTCATTTTTGAGGCGACTAAAAAATCGAGGAGAATGGGGTTTAAGGGGTTGGAGTTCATTTTTGAGGCGACTCAAAAATCGAGGAGAATGGGGTTTGAAGGGGTGGAGTTCATTTTTGAGTCGACTAAAAAATCGAGGAGAATGGGGTTTGAAGGGGTGGAGTTCATTTTTGAGGCGACTCAAAAATCGAGGAGAATGGGTTTGAAGGGGTGGAGTTCATTTTTGAGTCGACTAAAAAATCGAGGAGAATGGGGTTTGAAGGGGTGGAGTTCATTTTTGAGGCGACTCAAAAATCGAGGAGAATGGGGTTTGAAGGGGTGGAGTTCATTTTTGAGGCGACTCAAAAATCGAGGAGAATGGGGTTTGAAGGGGTGGAGTTCATTTTTGAGGCGACTCAAAAATCGAGGAGAATGGGGTTTGAAGGGGTGGAGTTCATTTTGAGGCGACTCAAAAAATCGAGGAGAATGGGGTTTGAAAGGGGTGGAGTTCATTTTTGAGGCGACTCAAAAATCGAGGAGAATGGGGTTTGAAGGGGTGGAGTTCATTTTTGAGGCGACTCAAAAATCGAGGAGAATGGGGTTGAAGGGGTGGAGTTCATTTTTGAGGCGACTCAAAAATCGAGGAGAATGGGGTTTGAAGGGGTGGAGTTCATTTTTGAGGCGACTCAAAAATCGAGGAGAATGGGGTTTGAAGGGGTGGAGTTCATTTTTGAGGCGACTCAAAAATCGAGGAGAATGGGGTTTGAAGGGGTGGAGTTCATTTTTGAGGCGACTCAAAAATCGAGGAGAATGGGGTTTGAAGGGGTGGAGTTCATTTTGAAGGCGACTCAAAAATCGAGGAGAATGGGGTTTGAAGGGGTGGAGTTCATTTTTGAGTCGACTAAAAAATCGAGGAGAATGGGGTTTGAAGGGGTGGAGTTCATTTTTGAGGCGACTCAAAAATCGAGGAGAATGGGGTTTGAAGGGGTGGAGTTCATTTTTGAGGCGACTCAAAAATCGAGGAGAATGGGGTTGAAGGGGTGGAGTTCATTTTTGAGGCGACTCAAAAATCGAGGAGAATGGGGTTTGAAGGGGTGGAGTTCATTTTGAGGCGACTCAAAAAATCGAAGAGAATGGGGTTTGAAGGGGTGTCATTCGAAGGAGAATGGGGTTTGAAGGGGTGGAGTTCATTTTTGAGTCGACTCAAAAATCGAGGAGAATGGGGTTTGAAGGGGTGGAGTTCAATTTTGAGGCGACTCAAAAATCGAGGAGAATGGGGTTTGAAGGGGTGGAGTTCATTTTTGAGGCGACTCAAAAATCGAGGAGAATGGGGTTTGAAGGGGTGGAGTTCATTTTTGAGGCGACTCAAAAATCGAGGAGAATGGGGTTTGAAGGGGTGGAGTTCATTTTTGAGGCGACTCAAAAATCGAGGAGAATGGGGTTTGAAGGGGGTGGAGTTCATTTTTGAGGCGACTCAAAATCGAGGAGAATGGGGTTTCGAAGGGGTGGAGTTCATTTTTGAGGCGACTCAAAAATCGAGGAGAATGGGGTTTGAAGGGGTGGAGTTCATTTTTGAGGCGACTCAAAAATCGAGGAGAATGGGGTTTGAAGGGGTGGAGTTCATTTTTGAGGCGACTAAAAATCGAGGAGAATGGGGTTTGAAGGGGTGGAGTTCATTTTTGAGGCGACTCAAAAATCGAGGAGAATGGGGTTTGAAGGGTGGAGTTCATTTTTGAGGCGACTCAAAAATCGAGGAGAATGGGGTTTGAAGGGGTGGAGTTCATTTTTGAGGCGACTCAAAAATCGAGGAGAATGGGGTTTGAAGGGGTGGAGTTCATTTTTGAGGCGACTCAAAAATCGAGGAGAATGGGGTTTGAAGGGGTGGAGTTCATTTTTGAGGCGACTCAAAAATCGAGGAGAATGGGGTTTCGAAGGGGTGGAGTTCATTTTGAGGCGACTCAAAAATCGAGGAGAATGGGGTTTGAAGGGGTGGAGTTCATTTTTGAGGCGACTCAAAAAATCGAGGAGAATGGGGTTTCGAAGGGGTGGAGTTCATTTTTGAGGCGACTAAAAAATCGAGGAGAATGGGGTTTGAAGGGGTGGAGTTCATTTTTGAGGCGACTCAAAAATCGAGGAGAATGGGGTTTGAAGGGGTGGAGTTCATTTTTGAGGCGACTCAAAAATCGAGGAGAATGGGGTTTGAAGGGGTGGAGTTCATTTTGAGGCGACTCAAAAATCGAGGAGAATGGGGTTTGAAGGGGTGGAGTTCATTTTTGAGGCGACTCAAAATCGAGGAGAATGGGGTTTGAAGGGGTGGAGTTCATTTTTGAGGCGACTCAAAAATCGAGGAGAATGGGGTTTGAAGGGGTGGAGTTCATTTTTGAGGCGACTCAAAAATCGAGGAGAATGGGGTTTGAAGGGGTGGAGTTCATTTTTGAGGCGACTCAAAAATCGAGGAGAATGGGGTTTGAAGGGGTGGAGTTCATTTTTGAGGCGACTCAAAAATCGAGGAGAATGGGGTTTGAAGGGGTGGAGTTCATTTTTGAGGCGACTCAAAAATCGAGGAGAATGGGGTTTGAAGGGGTGGAGTTCATTTTTGAGGCGACTCAAAAATCGAGGAGAATGGGGTTTGAAGGGGTGGAGTTCATTTTTGAGTCGACTCAAAAATCGAGGAGAATGGGGTTTGAAGGGGTGGAGTTCATTTTTGAGGCGACTCAAAAATCGAGGAGAATGGGGTTTGAAGGGGTGGAGTTCATTTTTGAGGCGACTCAAAAATCGAGGAGAATGGGGTTTGAAGGGGTGGAGTTCATTTTTGAGGCGACTCAAAAATCGAGGAGAATGGGGTTTGAAGGGGTGGAGTTCATTTTTGAGGCGACTCAAAAATCGAGGAGAATGGGGTGTTGAAGGGGTGGAGTTCATTTTTGAGGCGACTCAAAAATCGAGGAGAATGGGGTTTGAAGGGGTGGAGTTCATTTTTGAGGCGACTCAAAAATCGAGGAGAATGGGGTTTGAAGGGGTGGAGTTCATTTTTGAGGCGACTCAAAAATCGAGGAGAATGGGGGTTTGAAGGGTGGAGTTCATTTTTGAGGCGACTCAAAATCGAGGGAGAAAGGGGGTTTAGAAGGGGTGGAAGTTCTCATTTTTAGGCGACTCAAAAATCGAGAGAATGGGGTTTTGAAAGGGGTGGAGTTCATTTTTGAGGCGACTCAAAAATCGAGGAGAATGGGGTTCGAAGGGGTGGAGTTCATTTTTGCGGCGACTCAAAAATCGAGGAGAATGGGGTTTGAAGGGGTTGAGTTCATTTTTGAGGCGACTCAAAAATCGAGGAGAATGGGGTTTGAAGGGGTGGAGTTCATTTTTTGAGGCGACTCAAAAAATCGAGGAGAATGGGGTTTGAAGGGGTGGAGTTCATTTTTGAGGCGACTAAAAAATCGAGGAGAATGGGGTTTGAAGGGGTGGAGTTCATTTTTGAGGCGACTCAAAAAATCGAGGAGAATGGGGTTTGAAGGGGTGGGAGTTCATTTTTGAGGCGACTCAAAAATCGAGGAGAATGGGGTTCGAAGGTGTGGGGAGTTCATTTTTGAGGCGACTAAAAATCGGAGGAGAATGGGGTTTGAAAGGGTGTGGAGTTCATTTTTGAGGCGACTCAAAATCGAGGAGAATGGGGTTTGAAGGGGTGGAGGTTCATTTTCTCAGAGGCGACTCTCAAAAACTCGAGGAGAATGTGGGTTTGAAGGGGTGGAGTTCATTTTTGAGGCGACTCAAAAATCGAGGAGAATGGGGTTTGAAGGGGTGGAGTTCATTTTTGAGGCGACTCAAAAATCGAGGAGAATGGGGTTTGAAGGGGTGGAGTTCATTTTTGAGGCGACTCAAAAATCGAGGAGAATGGGGTTTGAAGGGGTGGAGTTCATTTTTGAGGCGACTCAAAAATCGAGGAGAATGGGGTTTGAAGGGGTGGAGTTCATTTTTGAGGCGACTCAAAAATCGAGGAGAATGGGGTTTGAAGGGGTGGAGTTCATTTTTGAGGCGACTCAAAAATCGAGGAGAATGGGGTTTGAAGGGGTGGAGTTCATTTTTGAGGCGACTCAAAAATCGAGGAGAATGGGGTTTGAAGGGGTGGAGTTCATTTTTGAGGCGACTCAAAAATCGAGGAGAATGGGGTTTGAAGGGGTGGAGTTCATTTTTGAGGCGACTCAAAAATCGAGGAGAATGGGGTTTGAAGGGGTGGAGTTCATTTTTGAGGCGACTCAAAAATCGAGGAGAATGGGGTTTGAAGGGGTGGAGTTCATTTTTGAGGCGACTCAAAAATCGAGGAGAATGGGGTTTGAAGGGGTGGAGTTCATTTTTGAGGCGACTCAAAAATCGAGGAGAATGGGGTTTGAAGGGGTGGAGTTCATTTTTGAGGCGACTCAAAAATCGAGGAGAATGGGGTTTGAAGGGGTGGAGTTCATTTTTGAGGCGACTCAAAAATCGAGGAGAATGGGGTTTGAAGGGGTGGAGTTCATTTTTGAGGCGACTCAAAAATCGAGGAGAATGGGGTTTGAAGGGGTGGAGTTCATTTTTGAGGCGACTCAAAAATCGAGGAGAATGGGGTTTGAAGGGGTGGAGTTCATTTTTGAGGCGACTCAAAAATCGAGGAGAATGGGGTTTGAAGGGGTGGAGTTCATTTTTGAGGCGACTCAAAAATCGAGGAGAATGGGGTTTGAAGGGGTGGAGTTCATTTTTGAGGCGACTCAAAAATCGAGGAGAATGGGGTTTGAAGGGGTGGAGTTCATTTTTGAGGCGACTCAAAAATCGAGGAGAATGGGGTTTGAAGGGGTGGAGTTCATTTTTGAGGCGACTCAAAAATCGAGGAGAATGGGGTTTGAAGGGGTGGAGTTCATTTTTGAGGCGACTCAAAAATCGAGGAGAATGGGGTTTGAAGGGGTGGAGTTCATTTTTGAGGCGACTCAAAAATCGAGGAGAATGGGGTTTGAAGGGGTGGAGTTCATTTTTGAGGCGACTCAAAAATCGAGGAGAATGGGGTTTGAAGGGGTGGAGTTCATTTTTGAGGCGACTCAAAAATCGAGGAGAATGGGGTTTGAAGGGGTGGAGTTCATTTTTGAGGCGACTCAAAAATCGAGGAGAATGGGGTTTGAAGGGGTGGAGTTCATTTTTGAGGCGACTCAAAAATCGAGGAGAATGGGGTTTGAAGGGGTGGAGTTCATTTTTGAGGCGACTCAAAAATCGAGGAGAATGGGGTTTGAAGGGGTGGAGTTCATTTTTGAGGCGACTCAAAAATCGAGGAGAATGGGGTTTGAAGGGGTGGAGTTCATTTTTGAGGCGACTCAAAAATCGAGGAGAATGGGGTTTGAAGGGGTGGAGTTCATTTTTGAGGCGACTCAAAAATCGAGGAGAATGGGGTTTGAAGGGGTGGAGTTCATTTTTGAGGCGACTCAAAAATCGAGGAGAATGGGGTTTGAAGGGGTGGAGTTCATTTTTGAGGCGACTCAAAAATCGAGGAGAATGGGGTTTGAAGGGGTGGAGTTCATTTTTGAGGCGACTCAAAAATCGAGGAGAATGGGGTTTGAAGGGGTGGAGTTCATTTTTGAGGCGACTCAAAAATCGAGGAGAATGGGGTTTGAAGGGGTGGAGTTCATTTTTGAGGCGACTCAAAAATCGAGGAGAATGGGGTTTGAAGGGGTGGAGTTCATTTTTGAGGCGACTCAAAAATCGAGGAGAATGGGGTTTGAAGGGGTGGAGTTCATTTTTGAGGCGACTCAAAAATCGAGGAGAATGGGGTTTGAAGGGGTGGAGTTCATTTTTGAGGCGACTCAAAAATCGAGGAGAATGGGGTTTGAAGGGGTGGAGTTCATTTTTGAGGCGACTCAAAAATCGAGGAGAATGGGGTTTGAAGGGGTGGAGTTCATTTTTGAGGCGACTCAAAAATCGAGGAGAATGGGGTTTGAAGGGGTGGAGTTCATTTTTGAGGCGACTCAAAAATCGAGGAGAATGGGGTTTGAAGGGGTGGAGTTCATTTTTGAGGCGACTCAAAAATCGAGGAGAATGGGGTTTGAAGGGGTGGAGTTCATTTTTGAGGCGACTCAAAAATCGAGGAGAATGGGGTTTGAAGGGGTGGAGTTCATTTTTGAGGCGACTCAAAAATCGAGGAGAATGGGGTTTGAAGGGGTGGAGTTCATTTTTGAGGCGACTCAAAAATCGAGGAGAATGGGGTTTGAAGGGGTGGAGTTCATTTTTGAGGCGACTCAAAAATCGAGGAGAATGGGGTTTGAAGGGGTGGAGTTCATTTTTGAGGCGACTCAAAAATCGAGGAGAATGGGGTTTGAAGGGGTGGAGTTCATTTTTGAGGCGACTCAAAAATCGAGGAGAATGGGGTTTGAAGGGGTGGAGTTCATTTTTGAGGCGACTCAAAAATCGAGGAGAATGGGGTTTGAAGGGGTGGAGTTCATTTTTGAGGCGACTCAAAAATCGAGGAGAATGGGGTTTGAAGGGGTGGAGTTCATTTTTGAGGCGACTCAAAAATCGAGGAGAATGGGGTTTGAAGGGGTGGAGTTCATTTTTGAGGCGACTCAAAAATCGAGGAGAATGGGGTTTGAAGGGGTGGAGTTCATTTTTGAGGCGACTCAAAAATCGAGGAGAATGGGGTTTGAAGGGGTGGAGTTCATTTTTGAGGCGACTCAAAAATCGAGGAGAATGGGGTTTGAAGGGGTGGAGTTCATTTTTGAGGCGACTCAAAAATCGAGGAGAATGGGGTTTGAAGGGGTGGAGTTCATTTTTGAGGCGACTCAAAAATCGAGGAGAATGGGGTTTGAAGGGGTGGAGTTCATTTTTGAGGCGACTCAAAAATCGAGGAGAATGGGGTTTGAAGGGGTGGAGTTCATTTTTGAGGCGACTCAAAAATCGAGGAGAATGGGGTTTGAAGGGGTGGAGTTCATTTTTGAGGCGACTCAAAAATCGAGGAGAATGGGGTTTGAAGGGGTGGAGTTCATTTTTGAGGCGACTCAAAAATCGAGGAGAATGGGGTTTGAAGGGGTGGAGTTCATTTTTGAGGCGACTCAAAAATCGAGGAGAATGGGGTTTGAAGGGGTGGAGTTCATTTTTGAGGCGACTCAAAAATCGAGGAGAATGGGGTTTGAAGGGGTGGAGTTCATTTTTGAGGCGACTCAAAAATCGAGGAGAATGGGGTTTGAAGGGGTGGAGTTCATTTTTGAGGCGACTCAAAAATCGAGGAGAATGGGGTTTGAAGGGGTGGAGTTCATTTTTGAGGCGACTCAAAAATCGAGGAGAATGGGGTTTGAAGGGGTGGAGTTCATTTTTGAGGCGACTCAAAAATCGAGGAGAATGGGGTTTGAAGGGGTGGAGTTCATTTTTGAGGCGACTCAAAAATCGAGGAGAATGGGGTTTGAAGGGGTGGAGTTCATTTTTGAGGCGACTCAAAAATCGAGGAGAATGGGGTTTGAAGGGGTGGAGTTCATTTTTGAGGCGACTCAAAAATCGAGGAGAATGGGGTTTGAAGGGGTGGAGTTCATTTTTGAGGCGACTCAAAAATCGAGGAGAATGGGGTTTGAAGGGGTGGAGTTCATTTTTGAGGCGACTCAAAAATCGAGGAGAATGGGGTTTGAAGGGGTGGAGTTCATTTTTGAGGCGACTCAAAAATCGAGGAGAATGGGGTTTGAAGGGGTGGAGTTCATTTTTGAGGCGACTCAAAAATCGAGGAGAATGGGGTTTGAAGGGGTGGAGTTCATTTTTGAGGCGACTCAAAAATCGAGGAGAATGGGGTTTGAAGGGGTGGAGTTCATTTTTGAGGCGACTCAAAAATCGAGGAGAATGGGGTTTGAAGGGGTGGAGTTCATTTTTGAGGCGACTCAAAAATCGAGGAGAATGGGGTTTGAAGGGGTGGAGTTCATTTTTGAGGCGACTCAAAAATCGAGGAGAATGGGGTTTGAAGGGGTGGAGTTCATTTTTGAGGCGACTCAAAAATCGAGGAGAATGGGGTTTGAAGGGGTGGAGTTCATTTTTGAGGCGACTCAAAAATCGAGGAGAATGGGGTTTGAAGGGGTGGAGTTCATTTTTGAGGCGACTCAAAAATCGAGGAGAATGGGGTTTGAAGGGGTGGAGTTCATTTTTGAGGCGACTCAAAAATCGAGGAGAATGGGGTTTGAAGGGGTGGAGTTCATTTTTGAGGCGACTCAAAAATCGAGGAGAATGGGGTTTGAAGGGGTGGAGTTCATTTTTGAGGCGACTCAAAAATCGAGGAGAATGGGGTTTGAAGGGGTGGAGTTCATTTTTGAGGCGACTCAAAAATCGAGGAGAATGGGGTTTGAAGGGGTGGAGTTCATTTTTGAGGCGACTCAAAAATCGAGGAGAATGGGGTTTGAAGGGGTGGAGTTCATTTTTGAGGCGACTCAAAAATCGAGGAGAATGGGGTTTGAAGGGGTGGAGTTCATTTTTGAGGCGACTCAAAAATCGAGGAGAATGGGGTTTGAAGGGGTGGAGTTCATTTTTGAGGCGACTCAAAAATCGAGGAGAATGGGGTTTGAAGGGGTGGAGTTCATTTTTGAGGCGACTCAAAAATCGAGGAGAATGGGGTTTGAAGGGGTGGAGTTCATTTTTGAGGCGACTCAAAAATCGAGGAGAATGGGGTTTGAAGGGGTGGAGTTCATTTTTGAGGCGACTCAAAAATCGAGGAGAATGGGGTTTGAAGGGGTGGAGTTCATTTTTGAGGCGACTCAAAAATCGAGGAGAATGGGGTTTGAAGGGGTGGAGTTCATTTTTGAGGCGACTCAAAAATCGAGGAGAATGGGGTTTGAAGGGGTGGAGTTCATTTTTGAGGCGACTCAAAAATCGAGGAGAATGGGGTTTGAAGGGGTGGAGTTCATTTTTGAGGCGACTCAAAAATCGAGGAGAATGGGGTTTGAAGGGGTGGAGTTCATTTTTGAGGCGACTCAAAAATCGAGGAGAATGGGGTTTGAAGGGGTGGAGTTCATTTTTGAGGCGACTCAAAAATCGAGGAGAATGGGGTTTGAAGGGGTGGAGTTCATTTTTGAGGCGACTCAAAAATCGAGGAGAATGGGGTTTGAAGGGGTGGAGTTCATTTTTGAGGCGACTCAAAAATCGAGGAGAATGGGGTTTGAAGGGGTGGAGTTCATTTTTGAGGCGACTCAAAAATCGAGGAGAATGGGGTTTGAAGGGGTGGAGTTCATTTTTGAGGCGACTCAAAAATCGAGGAGAATGGGGTTTGAAGGGGTGGAGTTCATTTTTGAGGCGACTCAAAAATCGAGGAGAATGGGGTTTGAAGGGGTGGAGTTCATTTTTGAGGCGACTCAAAAATCGAGGAGAATGGGGTTTGAAGGGGTGGAGTTCATTTTTGAGGCGACTCAAAAATCGAGGAGAATGGGGTTTGAAGGGGTGGAGTTCATTTTTGAGGCGACTCAAAAATCGAGGAGAATGGGGTTTGAAGGGGTGGAGTTCATTTTTGAGGCGACTCAAAAATCGAGGAGAATGGGGTTTGAAGGGGTGGAGTTCATTTTTGAGGCGACTCAAAAATCGAGGAGAATGGGGTTTGAAGGGGTGGAGTTCATTTTTGAGGCGACTCAAAAATCGAGGAGAATGGGGTTTGAAGGGGTGGAGTTCATTTTTGAGGCGACTCAAAAATCGAGGAGAATGGGGTTTGAAGGGGTGGAGTTCATTTTTGAGGCGACTCAAAAATCGAGGAGAATGGGGTTTGAAGGGGTGGAGTTCATTTTTGAGGCGACTCAAAAATCGAGGAGAATGGGGTTTGAAGGGGTGGAGTTCATTTTTGAGGCGACTCAAAAATCGAGGAGAATGGGGTTTGAAGGGGTGGAGTTCATTTTTGAGGCGACTCAAAAATCGAGGAGAATGGGGTTTGAAGGGGTGGAGTTCATTTTTGAGGCGACTCAAAAATCGAGGAGAATGGGGTTTGAAGGGGTGGAGTTCATTTTTGAGGCGACTCAAAAATCGAGGAGAATGGGGTTTGAAGGGGTGGAGTTCATTTTTGAGGCGACTCAAAAATCGAGGAGAATGGGGTTTGAAGGGGTGGAGTTCATTTTTGAGGCGACTCAAAAATCGAGGAGAATGGGGTTTGAAGGGGTGGAGTTCATTTTTGAGGCGACTCAAAAATCGAGGAGAATGGGGTTTGAAGGGGTGGAGTTCATTTTTGAGGCGACTCAAAAATCGAGGAGAATGGGGTTTGAAGGGGTGGAGTTCATTTTTGAGGCGACTCAAAAATCGAGGAGAATGGGGTTTGAAGGGGTGGAGTTCATTTTTGAGGCGACTCAAAAATCGAGGAGAATGGGGTTTGAAGGGGTGGAGTTCATTTTTGAGGCGACTCAAAAATCGAGGAGAATGGGGTTTGAAGGGGTGGAGTTCATTTTTGAGGCGACTCAAAAATCGAGGAGAATGGGGTTTGAAGGGGTGGAGTTCATTTTTGAGGCGACTCAAAAATCGAGGAGAATGGGGTTTGAAGGGGTGGAGTTCATTTTTGAGGCGACTCAAAAATCGAGGAGAATGGGGTTTGAAGGGGTGGAGTTCATTTTTGAGGCGACTCAAAAATCGAGGAGAATGGGGTTTGAAGGGGTGGAGTTCATTTTTGAGGCGACTCAAAAATCGAGGAGAATGGGGTTTGAAGGGGTGGAGTTCATTTTTGAGGCGACTCAAAAATCGAGGAGAATGGGGTTTGAAGGGGTGGAGTTCATTTTTGAGGCGACTCAAAAATCGAGGAGAATGGGGTTTGAAGGGGTGGAGTTCATTTTTGAGGCGACTCAAAAATCGAGGAGAATGGGGTTTGAAGGGGTGGAGTTCATTTTTGAGGCGACTCAAAAATCGAGGAGAATGGGGTTTGAAGGGGTGGAGTTCATTTTTGAGGCGACTCAAAAATCGAGGAGAATGGGGTTTGAAGGGGTGGAGTTCATTTTTGAGGCGACTCAAAAATCGAGGAGAATGGGGTTTGAAGGGGTGGAGTTCATTTTTGAGGCGACTCAAAAATCGAGGAGAATGGGGTTTGAAGGGGTGGAGTTCATTTTTGAGGCGACTCAAAAATCGAGGAGAATGGGGTTTGAAGGGGTGGAGTTCATTTTTGAGGCGACTCAAAAATCGAGGAGAATGGGGTTTGAAGGGGTGGAGTTCATTTTTGAGGCGACTCAAAAATCGAGGAGAATGGGGTTTGAAGGGGTGGAGTTCATTTTTGAGGCGACTCAAAAATCGAGGAGAATGGGGTTTGAAGGGGTGGAGTTCATTTTTGAGGCGACTCAAAAATCGAGGAGAATGGGGTTTGAAGGGGTGGAGTTCATTTTTGAGGCGACTCAAAAATCGAGGAGAATGGGGTTTGAAGGGGTGGAGTTCATTTTTGAGGCGACTCAAAAATCGAGGAGAATGGGGTTTGAAGGGGTGGAGTTCATTTTTGAGGCGACTCAAAAATCGAGGAGAATGGGGTTTGAAGGGGTGGAGTTCATTTTTGAGGCGACTCAAAAATCGAGGAGAATGGGGTTTGAAGGGGTGGAGTTCATTTTTGAGGCGACTCAAAAATCGAGGAGAATGGGGTTTGAAGGGGTGGAGTTCATTTTTGAGGCGACTCAAAAATCGAGGAGAATGGGGTTTGAAGGGGTGGAGTTCATTTTTGAGGCGACTCAAAAATCGAGGAGAATGGGGTTTGAAGGGGTGGAGTTCATTTTTGAGGCGACTCAAAAATCGAGGAGAATGGGGTTTGAAGGGGTGGAGTTCATTTTTGAGGCGACTCAAAAATCGAGGAGAATGGGGTTTGAAGGGGTGGAGTTCATTTTTGAGGCGACTCAAAAATCGAGGAGAATGGGGTTTGAAGGGGTGGAGTTCATTTTTGAGGCGACTCAAAAATCGAGGAGAATGGGGTTTGAAGGGGTGGAGTTCATTTTTGAGGCGACTCAAAAATCGAGGAGAATGGGGTTTGAAGGGGTGGAGTTCATTTTTGAGGCGACTCAAAAATCGAGGAGAATGGGGTTTGAAGGGGTGGAGTTCATTTTTGAGGCGACTCAAAAATCGAGGAGAATGGGGTTTGAAGGGGTGGAGTTCATTTTTGAGGCGACTCAAAAATCGAGGAGAATGGGGTTTGAAGGGGTGGAGTTCATTTTTGAGGCGACTCAAAAATCGAGGAGAATGGGGTTTGAAGGGGTGGAGTTCATTTTTGAGGCGACTCAAAAATCGAGGAGAATGGGGTTTGAAGGGGTGGAGTTCATTTTTGAGGCGACTCAAAAATCGAGGAGAATGGGGTTTGAAGGGGTGGAGTTCATTTTTGAGGCGACTCAAAAATCGAGGAGAATGGGGTTTGAAGGGGTGGAGTTCATTTTTGAGGCGACTCAAAAATCGAGGAGAATGGGGTTTGAAGGGGTGGAGTTCATTTTTGAGGCGACTCAAAAATCGAGGAGAATGGGGTTTGAAGGGGTGGAGTTCATTTTTGAGGCGACTCAAAAATCGAGGAGAATGGGGTTTGAAGGGGTGGAGTTCATTTTTGAGGCGACTCAAAAATCGAGGAGAATGGGGTTTGAAGGGGTGGAGTTCATTTTTGAGGCGACTCAAAAATCGAGGAGAATGGGGTTTGAAGGGGTGGAGTTCATTTTTGAGGCGACTCAAAAATCGAGGAGAATGGGGTTTGAAGGGGTGGAGTTCATTTTTGAGGCGACTCAAAAATCGAGGAGAATGGGGTTTGAAGGGGTGGAGTTCATTTTTGAGGCGACTCAAAAATCGAGGAGAATGGGGTTTGAAGGGGTGGAGTTCATTTTTGAGGCGACTCAAAAATCGAGGAGAATGGGGTTTGAAGGGGTGGAGTTCATTTTTGAGGCGACTCAAAAATCGAGGAGAATGGGGTTTGAAGGGGTGGAGTTCATTTTTGAGGCGACTCAAAAATCGAGGAGAATGGGGTTTGAAGGGGTGGAGTTCATTTTTGAGGCGACTCAAAAATCGAGGAGAATGGGGTTTGAAGGGGTGGAGTTCATTTTTGAGGCGACTCAAAAATCGAGGAGAATGGGGTTTGAAGGGGTGGAGTTCATTTTTGAGGCGACTCAAAAATCGAGGAGAATGGGGTTTGAAGGGGTGGAGTTCATTTTTGAGGCGACTCAAAAATCGAGGAGAATGGGGTTTGAAGGGGTGGAGTTCATTTTTGAGGCGACTCAAAAATCGAGGAGAATGGGGTTTGAAGGGGTGGAGTTCATTTTTGAGGCGACTCAAAAATCGAGGAGAATGGGGTTTGAAGGGGTGGAGTTCATTTTTGAGGCGACTCAAAAATCGAGGAGAATGGGGTTTGAAGGGGTGGAGTTCATTTTTGAGGCGACTCAAAAATCGAGGAGAATGGGGTTTGAAGGGGTGGAGTTCATTTTTGAGGCGACTCAAAAATCGAGGAGAATGGGGTTTGAAGGGGTGGAGTTCATTTTTGAGGCGACTCAAAAATCGAGGAGAATGGGGTTTGAAGGGGTGGAGTTCATTTTTGAGGCGACTCAAAAATCGAGGAGAATGGGGTTTGAAGGGGTGGAGTTCATTTTTGAGGCGACTCAAAAATCGAGGAGAATGGGGTTTGAAGGGGTGGAGTTCATTTTTGAGGCGACTCAAAAATCGAGGAGAATGGGGTTTGAAGGGGTGGAGTTCATTTTTGAGGCGACTCAAAAATCGAGGAGAATGGGGTTTGAAGGGGTGGAGTTCATTTTTGAGGCGACTCAAAAATCGAGGAGAATGGGGTTTGAAGGGGTGGAGTTCATTTTTGAGGCGACTCAAAAATCGAGGAGAATGGGGTTTGAAGGGGTGGAGTTCATTTTTGAGGCGACTCAAAAATCGAGGAGAATGGGGTTTGAAGGGGTGGAGTTCATTTTTGAGGCGACTCAAAAATCGAGGAGAATGGGGTTTGAAGGGGTGGAGTTCATTTTTGAGGCGACTCAAAAATCGAGGAGAATGGGGTTTGAAGGGGTGGAGTTCATTTTTGAGGCGACTCAAAAATCGAGGAGAATGGGGTTTGAAGGGGTGGAGTTCATTTTTGAGGCGACTCAAAAATCGAGGAGAATGGGGTTTGAAGGGGTGGAGTTCATTTTTGAGGCGACTCAAAAATCGAGGAGAATGGGGTTTGAAGGGGTGGAGTTCATTTTTGAGGCGACTCAAAAATCGAGGAGAATGGGGTTTGAAGGGGTGGAGTTCATTTTTGAGGCGACTCAAAAATCGAGGAGAATGGGGTTTGAAGGGGTGGAGTTCATTTTTGAGGCGACTCAAAAATCGAGGAGAATGGGGTTTGAAGGGGTGGAGTTCATTTTTGAGGCGACTCAAAAATCGAGGAGAATGGGGTTTGAAGGGGTGGAGTTCATTTTTGAGGCGACTCAAAAATCGAGGAGAATGGGGTTTGAAGGGGTGGAGTTCATTTTTGAGGCGACTCAAAAATCGAGGAGAATGGGGTTTGAAGGGGTGGAGTTCATTTTTGAGGCGACTCAAAAATCGAGGAGAATGGGGTTTGAAGGGGTGGAGTTCATTTTTGAGGCGACTCAAAAATCGAGGAGAATGGGGTTTGAAGGGGTGGAGTTCATTTTTGAGGCGACTCAAAAATCGAGGAGAATGGGGTTTGAAGGGGTGGAGTTCATTTTTGAGGCGACTCAAAAATCGAGGAGAATGGGGTTTGAAGGGGTGGAGTTCATTTTTGAGGCGACTCAAAAATCGAGGAGAATGGGGTTTGAAGGGGTGGAGTTCATTTTTGAGGCGACTCAAAAATCGAGGAGAATGGGGTTTGAAGGGGTGGAGTTCATTTTTGAGGCGACTCAAAAATCGAGGAGAATGGGGTTTGAAGGGGTGGAGTTCATTTTTGAGGCGACTCAAAAATCGAGGAGAATGGGGTTTGAAGGGGTGGAGTTCATTTTTGAGGCGACTCAAAAATCGAGGAGAATGGGGTTTGAAGGGGTGGAGTTCATTTTTGAGGCGACTCAAAAATCGAGGAGAATGGGGTTTGAAGGGGTGGAGTTCATTTTTGAGGCGACTCAAAAATCGAGGAGAATGGGGTTTGAAGGGGTGGAGTTCATTTTTGAGGCGACTCAAAAATCGAGGAGAATGGGGTTTGAAGGGGTGGAGTTCATTTTTGAGGCGACTCAAAAATCGAGGAGAATGGGGTTTGAAGGGGTGGAGTTCATTTTTGAGGCGACTCAAAAATCGAGGAGAATGGGGTTTGAAGGGGTGGAGTTCATTTTTGAGGCGACTCAAAAATCGAGGAGAATGGGGTTTGAAGGGGTGGAGTTCATTTTTGAGGCGACTCAAAAATCGAGGAGAATGGGGTTTGAAGGGGTGGAGTTCATTTTTGAGGCGACTCAAAAATCGAGGAGAATGGGGTTTGAAGGGGTGGAGTTCATTTTTGAGGCGACTCAAAAATCGAGGAGAATGGGGTTTGAAGGGGTGGAGTTCATTTTTGAGGCGACTCAAAAATCGAGGAGAATGGGGTTTGAAGGGGTGGAGTTCATTTTTGAGGCGACTCAAAAATCGAGGAGAATGGGGTTTGAAGGGGTGGAGTTCATTTTTGAGGCGACTCAAAAATCGAGGAGAATGGGGTTTGAAGGGGTGGAGTTCATTTTTGAGGCGACTCAAAAATCGAGGAGAATGGGGTTTGAAGGGGTGGAGTTCATTTTTGAGGCGACTCAAAAATCGAGGAGAATGGGGTTTGAAGGGGTGGAGTTCATTTTTGAGGCGACTCAAAAATCGAGGAGAATGGGGTTTGAAGGGGTGGAGTTCATTTTTGAGGCGACTCAAAAATCGAGGAGAATGGGGTTTGAAGGGGTGGAGTTCATTTTTGAGGCGACTCAAAAATCGAGGAGAATGGGGTTTGAAGGGGTGGAGTTCATTTTTGAGGCGACTCAAAAATCGAGGAGAATGGGGTTTGAAGGGGTGGAGTTCATTTTTGAGGCGACTCAAAAATCGAGGAGAATGGGGTTTGAAGGGGTGGAGTTCATTTTTGAGGCGACTCAAAAATCGAGGAGAATGGGGTTTGAAGGGGTGGAGTTCATTTTTGAGGCGACTCAAAAATCGAGGAGAATGGGGTTTGAAGGGGTGGAGTTCATTTTTGAGGCGACTCAAAAATCGAGGAGAATGGGGTTTGAAGGGGTGGAGTTCATTTTTGAGGCGACTCAAAAATCGAGGAGAATGGGGTTTGAAGGGGTGGAGTTCATTTTTGAGGCGACTCAAAAATCGAGGAGAATGGGGTTTGAAGGGGTGGAGTTCATTTTTGAGGCGACTCAAAAATCGAGGAGAATGGGGTTTGAAGGGGTGGAGTTCATTTTTGAGGCGACTCAAAAATCGAGGAGAATGGGGTTTGAAGGGGTGGAGTTCATTTTTGAGGCGACTCAAAAATCGAGGAGAATGGGGTTTGAAGGGGTGGAGTTCATTTTTGAGGCGACTCAAAAATCGAGGAGAATGGGGTTTGAAGGGGTGGAGTTCATTTTTGAGGCGACTCAAAAATCGAGGAGAATGGGGTTTGAAGGGGTGGAGTTCATTTTTGAGGCGACTCAAAAATCGAGGAGAATGGGGTTTGAAGGGGTGGAGTTCATTTTTGAGGCGACTCAAAAATCGAGGAGAATGGGGTTTGAAGGGGTGGAGTTCATTTTTGAGGCGACTCAAAAATCGAGGAGAATGGGGTTTGAAGGGGTGGAGTTCATTTTTGAGGCGACTCAAAAATCGAGGAGAATGGGGTTTGAAGGGGTGGAGTTCATTTTTGAGGCGACTCAAAAATCGAGGAGAATGGGGTTTGAAGGGGTGGAGTTCATTTTTGAGGCGACTCAAAAATCGAGGAGAATGGGGTTTGAAGGGGTGGAGTTCATTTTTGAGGCGACTCAAAAATCGAGGAGAATGGGGTTTGAAGGGGTGGAGTTCATTTTTGAGGCGACTCAAAAATCGAGGAGAATGGGGTTTGAAGGGGTGGAGTTCATTTTTGAGGCGACTCAAAAATCGAGGAGAATGGGGTTTGAAGGGGTGGAGTTCATTTTTGAGGCGACTCAAAAATCGAGGAGAATGGGGTTTGAAGGGGTGGAGTTCATTTTTGAGGCGACTCAAAAATCGAGGAGAATGGGGTTTGAAGGGGTGGAGTTCATTTTTGAGGCGACTCAAAAATCGAGGAGAATGGGGTTTGAAGGGGTGGAGTTCATTTTTGAGGCGACTCAAAAATCGAGGAGAATGGGGTTTGAAGGGGTGGAGTTCATTTTTGAGGCGACTCAAAAATCGAGGAGAATGGGGTTTGAAGGGGTGGAGTTCATTTTTGAGGCGACTCAAAAATCGAGGAGAATGGGGTTTGAAGGGGTGGAGTTCATTTTTGAGGCGACTCAAAAATCGAGGAGAATGGGGTTTGAAGGGGTGGAGTTCATTTTTGAGGCGACTCAAAAATCGAGGAGAATGGGGTTTGAAGGGGTGGAGTTCATTTTTGAGGCGACTCAAAAATCGAGGAGAATGGGGTTTGAAGGGGTGGAGTTCATTTTTGAGGCGACTCAAAAATCGAGGAGAATGGGGTTTGAAGGGGTGGAGTTCATTTTTGAGGCGACTCAAAAATCGAGGAGAATGGGGTTTGAAGGGGTGGAGTTCATTTTTGAGGCGACTCAAAAATCGAGGAGAATGGGGTTTGAAGGGGTGGAGTTCATTTTTGAGGCGACTCAAAAATCGAGGAGAATGGGGTTTGAAGGGGTGGAGTTCATTTTTGAGGCGACTCAAAAATCGAGGAGAATGGGGTTTGAAGGGGTGGAGTTCATTTTTGAGGCGACTCAAAAATCGAGGAGAATGGGGTTTGAAGGGGTGGAGTTCATTTTTGAGGCGACTCAAAAATCGAGGAGAATGGGGTTTGAAGGGGTGGAGTTCATTTTTGAGGCGACTCAAAAATCGAGGAGAATGGGGTTTGAAGGGGTGGAGTTCATTTTTGAGGCGACTCAAAAATCGAGGAGAATGGGGTTTGAAGGGGTGGAGTTCATTTTTGAGGCGACTCAAAAATCGAGGAGAATGGGGTTTGAAGGGGTGGAGTTCATTTTTGAGGCGACTCAAAAATCGAGGAGAATGGGGTTTGAAGGGGTGGAGTTCATTTTTGAGGCGACTCAAAAATCGAGGAGAATGGGGTTTGAAGGGGTGGAGTTCATTTTTGAGGCGACTCAAAAATCGAGGAGAATGGGGTTTGAAGGGGTGGAGTTCATTTTTGAGGCGACTCAAAAATCGAGGAGAATGGGGTTTGAAGGGGTGGAGTTCATTTTTGAGGCGACTCAAAAATCGAGGAGAATGGGGTTTGAAGGGGTGGAGTTCATTTTTGAGGCGACTCAAAAATCGAGGAGAATGGGGTTTGAAGGGGTGGAGTTCATTTTTGAGGCGACTCAAAAATCGAGGAGAATGGGGTTTGAAGGGGTGGAGTTCATTTTTGAGGCGACTCAAAAATCGAGGAGAATGGGGTTTGAAGGGGTGGAGTTCATTTTTGAGGCGACTCAAAAATCGAGGAGAATGGGGTTTGAAGGGGTGGAGTTCATTTTTGAGGCGACTCAAAAATCGAGGAGAATGGGGTTTGAAGGGGTGGAGTTCATTTTTGAGGCGACTCAAAAATCGAGGAGAATGGGGTTTGAAGGGGTGGAGTTCATTTTTGAGGCGACTCAAAAATCGAGGAGAATGGGGTTTGAAGGGGTGGAGTTCATTTTTGAGGCGACTCAAAAATCGAGGAGAATGGGGTTTGAAGGGGTGGAGTTCATTTTTGAGGCGACTCAAAAATCGAGGAGAATGGGGTTTGAAGGGGTGGAGTTCATTTTTGAGGCGACTCAAAAATCGAGGAGAATGGGGTTTGAAGGGGTGGAGTTCATTTTTGAGGCGACTCAAAAATCGAGGAGAATGGGGTTTGAAGGGGTGGAGTTCATTTTTGAGGCGACTCAAAAATCGAGGAGAATGGGGTTTGAAGGGGTGGAGTTCATTTTTGAGGCGACTCAAAAATCGAGGAGAATGGGGTTTGAAGGGGTGGAGTTCATTTTTGAGGCGACTCAAAAATCGAGGAGAATGGGGTTTGAAGGGGTGGAGTTCATTTTTGAGGCGACTCAAAAATCGAGGAGAATGGGGTTTGAAGGGGTGGAGTTCATTTTTGAGGCGACTCAAAAATCGAGGAGAATGGGGTTTGAAGGGGTGGAGTTCATTTTTGAGGCGACTCAAAAATCGAGGAGAATGGGGTTTGAAGGGGTGGAGTTCATTTTTGAGGCGACTCAAAAATCGAGGAGAATGGGGTTTGAAGGGGTGGAGTTCATTTTTGAGGCGACTCAAAAATCGAGGAGAATGGGGTTTGAAGGGGTGGAGTTCATTTTTGAGGCGACTCAAAAATCGAGGAGAATGGGGTTTGAAGGGGTGGAGTTCATTTTTGAGGCGACTCAAAAATCGAGGAGAATGGGGTTTGAAGGGGTGGAGTTCATTTTTGAGGCGACTCAAAAATCGAGGAGAATGGGGTTTGAAGGGGTGGAGTTCATTTTTGAGGCGACTCAAAAATCGAGGAGAATGGGGTTTGAAGGGGTGGAGTTCATTTTTGAGGCGACTCAAAAATCGAGGAGAATGGGGTTTGAAGGGGTGGAGTTCATTTTTGAGGCGACTCAAAAATCGAGGAGAATGGGGTTTGAAGGGGTGGAGTTCATTTTTGAGGCGACTCAAAAATCGAGGAGAATGGGGTTTGAAGGGGTGGAGTTCATTTTTGAGGCGACTCAAAAATCGAGGAGAATGGGGTTTGAAGGGGTGGAGTTCATTTTTGAGGCGACTCAAAAATCGAGGAGAATGGGGTTTGAAGGGGTGGAGTTCATTTTTGAGGCGACTCAAAAATCGAGGAGAATGGGGTTTGAAGGGGTGGAGTTCATTTTTGAGGCGACTCAAAAATCGAGGAGAATGGGGTTTGAAGGGGTGGAGTTCATTTTTGAGGCGACTCAAAAATCGAGGAGAATGGGGTTTGAAGGGGTGGAGTTCATTTTTGAGGCGACTCAAAAATCGAGGAGAATGGGGTTTGAAGGGGTGGAGTTCATTTTTGAGGCGACTCAAAAATCGAGGAGAATGGGGTTTGAAGGGGTGGAGTTCATTTTTGAGGCGACTCAAAAATCGAGGAGAATGGGGTTTGAAGGGGTGGAGTTCATTTTTGAGGCGACTCAAAAATCGAGGAGAATGGGGTTTGAAGGGGTGGAGTTCATTTTTGAGGCGACTCAAAAATCGAGGAGAATGGGGTTTGAAGGGGTGGAGTTCATTTTTGAGGCGACTCAAAAATCGAGGAGAATGGGGTTTGAAGGGGTGGAGTTCATTTTTGAGGCGACTCAAAAATCGAGGAGAATGGGGTTTGAAGGGGTGGAGTTCATTTTTGAGGCGACTCAAAAATCGAGGAGAATGGGGTTTGAAGGGGTGGAGTTCATTTTTGAGGCGACTCAAAAATCGAGGAGAATGGGGTTTGAAGGGGTGGAGTTCATTTTTGAGGCGACTCAAAAATCGAGGAGAATGGGGTTTGAAGGGGTGGAGTTCATTTTTGAGGCGACTCAAAAATCGAGGAGAATGGGGTTTGAAGGGGTGGAGTTCATTTTTGAGGCGACTCAAAAATCGAGGAGAATGGGGTTTGAAGGGGTGGAGTTCATTTTTGAGGCGACTCAAAAATCGAGGAGAATGGGGTTTGAAGGGGTGGAGTTCATTTTTGAGGCGACTCAAAAATCGAGGAGAATGGGGTTTGAAGGGGTGGAGTTCATTTTTGAGGCGACTCAAAAATCGAGGAGAATGGGGTTTGAAGGGGTGGAGTTCATTTTTGAGGCGACTCAAAAATCGAGGAGAATGGGGTTTGAAGGGGTGGAGTTCATTTTTGAGGCGACTCAAAAATCGAGGAGAATGGGGTTTGAAGGGGTGGAGTTCATTTTTGAGGCGACTCAAAAATCGAGGAGAATGGGGTTTGAAGGGGTGGAGTTCATTTTTGAGGCGACTCAAAAATCGAGGAGAATGGGGTTTGAAGGGGTGGAGTTCATTTTTGAGGCGACTCAAAAATCGAGGAGAATGGGGTTTGAAGGGGTGGAGTTCATTTTTGAGGCGACTCAAAAATCGAGGAGAATGGGGTTTGAAGGGGTGGAGTTCATTTTTGAGGCGACTCAAAAATCGAGGAGAATGGGGTTTGAAGGGGTGGAGTTCATTTTTGAGGCGACTCAAAAATCGAGGAGAATGGGGTTTGAAGGGGTGGAGTTCATTTTTGAGGCGACTCAAAAATCGAGGAGAATGGGGTTTGAAGGGGTGGAGTTCATTTTTGAGGCGACTCAAAAATCGAGGAGAATGGGGTTTGAAGGGGTGGAGTTCATTTTTGAGGCGACTCAAAAATCGAGGAGAATGGGGTTTGAAGGGGTGGAGTTCATTTTTGAGGCGACTCAAAAATCGAGGAGAATGGGGTTTGAAGGGGTGGAGTTCATTTTTGAGGCGACTCAAAAATCGAGGAGAATGGGGTTTGAAGGGGTGGAGTTCATTTTTGAGGCGACTCAAAAATCGAGGAGAATGGGGTTTGAAGGGGTGGAGTTCATTTTTGAGGCGACTCAAAAATCGAGGAGAATGGGGTTTGAAGGGGTGGAGTTCATTTTTGAGGCGACTCAAAAATCGAGGAGAATGGGGTTTGAAGGGGTGGAGTTCATTTTTGAGGCGACTCAAAAATCGAGGAGAATGGGGTTTGAAGGGGTGGAGTTCATTTTTGAGGCGACTCAAAAATCGAGGAGAATGGGGTTTGAAGGGGTGGAGTTCATTTTTGAGGCGACTCAAAAATCGAGGAGAATGGGGTTTGAAGGGGTGGAGTTCATTTTTGAGGCGACTCAAAAATCGAGGAGAATGGGGTTTGAAGGGGTGGAGTTCATTTTTGAGGCGACTCAAAAATCGAGGAGAATGGGGTTTGAAGGGGTGGAGTTCATTTTTGAGGCGACTCAAAAATCGAGGAGAATGGGGTTTGAAGGGGTGGAGTTCATTTTTGAGGCGACTCAAAAATCGAGGAGAATGGGGTTTGAAGGGGTGGAGTTCATTTTTGAGGCGACTCAAAAATCGAGGAGAATGGGGTTTGAAGGGGTGGAGTTCATTTTTGAGGCGACTCAAAAATCGAGGAGAATGGGGTTTGAAGGGGTGGAGTTCATTTTTGAGGCGACTCAAAAATCGAGGAGAATGGGGTTTGAAGGGGTGGAGTTCATTTTTGAGGCGACTCAAAAATCGAGGAGAATGGGGTTTGAAGGGGTGGAGTTCATTTTTGAGGCGACTCAAAAATCGAGGAGAATGGGGTTTGAAGGGGTGGAGTTCATTTTTGAGGCGACTCAAAAATCGAGGAGAATGGGGTTTGAAGGGGTGGAGTTCATTTTTGAGGCGACTCAAAAATCGAGGAGAATGGGGTTTGAAGGGGTGGAGTTCATTTTTGAGGCGACTCAAAAATCGAGGAGAATGGGGTTTGAAGGGGTGGAGTTCATTTTTGAGGCGACTCAAAAATCGAGGAGAATGGGGTTTGAAGGGGTGGAGTTCATTTTTGAGGCGACTCAAAAATCGAGGAGAATGGGGTTTGAAGGGGTGGAGTTCATTTTTGAGGCGACTCAAAAATCGAGGAGAATGGGGTTTGAAGGGGTGGAGTTCATTTTTGAGGCGACTCAAAAATCGAGGAGAATGGGGTTTGAAGGGGTGGAGTTCATTTTTGAGGCGACTCAAAAATCGAGGAGAATGGGGTTTGAAGGGGTGGAGTTCATTTTTGAGGCGACTCAAAAATCGAGGAGAATGGGGTTTGAAGGGGTGGAGTTCATTTTTGAGGCGACTCAAAAATCGAGGAGAATGGGGTTTGAAGGGGTGGAGTTCATTTTTGAGGCGACTCAAAAATCGAGGAGAATGGGGTTTGAAGGGGTGGAGTTCATTTTTGAGGCGACTCAAAAATCGAGGAGAATGGGGTTTGAAGGGGTGGAGTTCATTTTTGAGGCGACTCAAAAATCGAGGAGAATGGGGTTTGAAGGGGTGGAGTTCATTTTTGAGGCGACTCAAAAATCGAGGAGAATGGGGTTTGAAGGGGTGGAGTTCATTTTTGAGGCGACTCAAAAATCGAGGAGAATGGGGTTTGAAGGGGTGGAGTTCATTTTTGAGGCGACTCAAAAATCGAGGAGAATGGGGTTTGAAGGGGTGGAGTTCATTTTTGAGGCGACTCAAAAATCGAGGAGAATGGGGTTTGAAGGGGTGGAGTTCATTTTTGAGGCGACTCAAAAATCGAGGAGAATGGGGTTTGAAGGGGTGGAGTTCATTTTTGAGGCGACTCAAAAATCGAGGAGAATGGGGTTTGAAGGGGTGGAGTTCATTTTTGAGGCGACTCAAAAATCGAGGAGAATGGGGTTTGAAGGGGTGGAGTTCATTTTTGAGGCGACTCAAAAATCGAGGAGAATGGGGTTTGAAGGGGTGGAGTTCATTTTTGAGGCGACTCAAAAATCGAGGAGAATGGGGTTTGAAGGGGTGGAGTTCATTTTTGAGGCGACTCAAAAATCGAGGAGAATGGGGTTTGAAGGGGTGGAGTTCATTTTTGAGGCGACTCAAAAATCGAGGAGAATGGGGTTTGAAGGGGTGGAGTTCATTTTTGAGGCGACTCAAAAATCGAGGAGAATGGGGTTTGAAGGGGTGGAGTTCATTTTTGAGGCGACTCAAAAATCGAGGAGAATGGGGTTTGAAGGGGTGGAGTTCATTTTTGAGGCGACTCAAAAATCGAGGAGAATGGGGTTTGAAGGGGTGGAGTTCATTTTTGAGGCGACTCAAAAATCGAGGAGAATGGGGTTTGAAGGGGTGGAGTTCATTTTTGAGGCGACTCAAAAATCGAGGAGAATGGGGTTTGAAGGGGTGGAGTTCATTTTTGAGGCGACTCAAAAATCGAGGAGAATGGGGTTTGAAGGGGTGGAGTTCATTTTTGAGGCGACTCAAAAATCGAGGAGAATGGGGTTTGAAGGGGTGGAGTTCATTTTTGAGGCGACTCAAAAATCGAGGAGAATGGGGTTTGAAGGGGTGGAGTTCATTTTTGAGGCGACTCAAAAATCGAGGAGAATGGGGTTTGAAGGGGTGGAGTTCATTTTTGAGGCGACTCAAAAATCGAGGAGAATGGGGTTTGAAGGGGTGGAGTTCATTTTTGAGGCGACTCAAAAATCGAGGAGAATGGGGTTTGAAGGGGTGGAGTTCATTTTTGAGGCGACTCAAAAATCGAGGAGAATGGGGTTTGAAGGGGTGGAGTTCATTTTTGAGGCGACTCAAAAATCGAGGAGAATGGGGTTTGAAGGGGTGGAGTTCATTTTTGAGGCGACTCAAAAATCGAGGAGAATGGGGTTTGAAGGGGTGGAGTTCATTTTTGAGGCGACTCAAAAATCGAGGAGAATGGGGTTTGAAGGGGTGGAGTTCATTTTTGAGGCGACTCAAAAATCGAGGAGAATGGGGTTTGAAGGGGTGGAGTTCATTTTTGAGGCGACTCAAAAATCGAGGAGAATGGGGTTTGAAGGGGTGGAGTTCATTTTTGAGGCGACTCAAAAATCGAGGAGAATGGGGTTTGAAGGGGTGGAGTTCATTTTTGAGGCGACTCAAAAATCGAGGAGAATGGGGTTTGAAGGGGTGGAGTTCATTTTTGAGGCGACTCAAAAATCGAGGAGAATGGGGTTTGAAGGGGTGGAGTTCATTTTTGAGGCGACTCAAAAATCGAGGAGAATGGGGTTTGAAGGGGTGGAGTTCATTTTTGAGGCGACTCAAAAATCGAGGAGAATGGGGTTTGAAGGGGTGGAGTTCATTTTTGAGGCGACTCAAAAATCGAGGAGAATGGGGTTTGAAGGGGTGGAGTTCATTTTTGAGGCGACTCAAAAATCGAGGAGAATGGGGTTTGAAGGGGTGGAGTTCATTTTTGAGGCGACTCAAAAATCGAGGAGAATGGGGTTTGAAGGGGTGGAGTTCATTTTTGAGGCGACTCAAAAATCGAGGAGAATGGGGTTTGAAGGGGTGGAGTTCATTTTTGAGGCGACTCAAAAATCGAGGAGAATGGGGTTTGAAGGGGTGGAGTTCATTTTTGAGGCGACTCAAAAATCGAGGAGAATGGGGTTTGAAGGGGTGGAGTTCATTTTTGAGGCGACTCAAAAATCGAGGAGAATGGGGTTTGAAGGGGTGGAGTTCATTTTTGAGGCGACTCAAAAATCGAGGAGAATGGGGTTTGAAGGGGTGGAGTTCATTTTTGAGGCGACTCAAAAATCGAGGAGAATGGGGTTTGAAGGGGTGGAGTTCATTTTTGAGGCGACTCAAAAATCGAGGAGAATGGGGTTTGAAGGGGTGGAGTTCATTTTTGAGGCGACTCAAAAATCGAGGAGAATGGGGTTTGAAGGGGTGGAGTTCATTTTTGAGGCGACTCAAAAATCGAGGAGAATGGGGTTTGAAGGGGTGGAGTTCATTTTTGAGGCGACTCAAAAATCGAGGAGAATGGGGTTTGAAGGGGTGGAGTTCATTTTTGAGGCGACTCAAAAATCGAGGAGAATGGGGTTTGAAGGGGTGGAGTTCATTTTTGAGGCGACTCAAAAATCGAGGAGAATGGGGTTTGAAGGGGTGGAGTTCATTTTTGAGGCGACTCAAAAATCGAGGAGAATGGGGTTTGAAGGGGTGGAGTTCATTTTTGAGGCGACTCAAAAATCGAGGAGAATGGGGTTTGAAGGGGTGGAGTTCATTTTTGAGGCGACTCAAAAATCGAGGAGAATGGGGTTTGAAGGGGTGGAGTTCATTTTTGAGGCGACTCAAAAATCGAGGAGAATGGGGTTTGAAGGGGTGGAGTTCATTTTTGAGGCGACTCAAAAATCGAGGAGAATGGGGTTTGAAGGGGTGGAGTTCATTTTTGAGGCGACTCAAAAATCGAGGAGAATGGGGTTTGAAGGGGTGGAGTTCATTTTTGAGGCGACTCAAAAATCGAGGAGAATGGGGTTTGAAGGGGTGGAGTTCATTTTTGAGGCGACTCAAAAATCGAGGAGAATGGGGTTTGAAGGGGTGGAGTTCATTTTTGAGGCGACTCAAAAATCGAGGAGAATGGGGTTTGAAGGGGTGGAGTTCATTTTTGAGGCGACTCAAAAATCGAGGAGAATGGGGTTTGAAGGGGTGGAGTTCATTTTTGAGGCGACTCAAAAATCGAGGAGAATGGGGTTTGAAGGGGTGGAGTTCATTTTTGAGGCGACTCAAAAATCGAGGAGAATGGGGTTTGAAGGGGTGGAGTTCATTTTTGAGGCGACTCAAAAATCGAGGAGAATGGGGTTTGAAGGGGTGGAGTTCATTTTTGAGGCGACTCAAAAATCGAGGAGAATGGGGTTTGAAGGGGTGGAGTTCATTTTTGAGGCGACTCAAAAATCGAGGAGAATGGGGTTTGAAGGGGTGGAGTTCATTTTTGAGGCGACTCAAAAATCGAGGAGAATGGGGTTTGAAGGGGTGGAGTTCATTTTTGAGGCGACTCAAAAATCGAGGAGAATGGGGTTTGAAGGGGTGGAGTTCATTTTTGAGGCGACTCAAAAATCGAGGAGAATGGGGTTTGAAGGGGTGGAGTTCATTTTTGAGGCGACTCAAAAATCGAGGAGAATGGGGTTTGAAGGGGTGGAGTTCATTTTTGAGGCGACTCAAAAATCGAGGAGAATGGGGTTTGAAGGGGTGGAGTTCATTTTTGAGGCGACTCAAAACTCGAGGAGAATGGGGTTTGAAGGGGGTGTGAGTTCATTTTTGAGGCGATCAAAAATCGAGGAGAATGGGGTTTGAATGGGTGGAGTTCATTTTTGAGGCGACTCAAAAATCGAGGAGAATGGGGTTTGAAGGGGTGGAGTTCATTTTTGAGGCGACCTCAAAATCGAGGAGAATGGGGTTTGAATGGGTGGAGTTCATTTTTGAGGCGACTCAAAAATCGAGGAGAATGGGGTTTGAAGGGGTGGAGTTCATTTTTGAGGCGACTCAAAATAGAGGAGAATGGGGTTTGAAGGGGTGGAGTTCATTTTTGAGGCGACTCAAAAATCGAGGAGAATGGGGTTGAAGGGGTGGAGTTCATTTTTGAGGCGACTCAAAAATCGAGGAGAATGGGGTTTGAAGGGGTGGAGTTCATTTTTGAGGCGACTCAAAATCGAGGAGAATGGGGTTTTGAAGGGGTGGAGTTCATTTTTGAGGCGACTCAAAAATCGAGGAGAATGGGGTTTCGAAGGGGTGGAGTTCATTTTTGAGTCGACTCAAAAATCGAGGAGAATGGGGTTGAAGGGGTGGAGTTCATTTTTGAGGCGACTCAAAAATCGAGGAGAATGGGGTTTGAAGGGGTTGGAGTTCATTTTTGAGGCGACTCAAAAATCGAGGAGAATGGGGTTTCGAAGGGGTGGAGTTCATTTTTGAGTCGACTCAAAAATCGAGGAGAATGGGGTTTGAAGGGGTGGAGTTCATTTTTGAGGCGACTCAAAAATCGAGGAGAATGGGGTTTGAAGGGGTGGAGTTCATTTTTTGAGTCGACTAAACATCGAGGAGAATGGGTTTGAAGGGGTGGAGTTCATTTTTGAGGCGACTCAAAAATCGAGGAGAATGGGGTTTGAAGGGGTGGAGTTCATTTTTTGAGGCGACTCAAAAATCGAGGAGAATGGGGTTTGAAGGGGTGGAGTTTCATTTTTGAGGCGACTCAAAAATCGAGGAGAATGGGGTTCGAAGGGGTGGAGTTCATTTTTGAGGCGACTCAAAAAATCGAGGAGAATGGGGTTTGAAGGGGTGGAGTTCATTTTTGAGGCGACTCAAAAATCGAGGAGAATGGGGTTTGAAGGGGTGGAGTTCATTTTTGAGGCGACTCAAAAATCGAGGAGAATGGGGTTTGAAGGGGTGGAGTTCATTTTTTGAGGCGACTCAAAAATCGAGGAGAATGGGGTTTGAAGGGGTGGAGTTCATTTTTGAGGCGACTCAAAAATCGAGGAGAATGGGGTTTGAAGGGGTGGAGTTCATTTTTGAGGCGACTCAAAAATCGAGGAGAATGGGGTTCGAAGGGGTGGAGTTCATTTTTGAGGCGACTCAAAATCGAGGAGAATGGGGTTTTGAAGGGTGGGAGTCATTTTTGAGGCGACTCAAAAATCGAGGAGAATGGGGTTTGAAGGGGGGAGTTCATTTTTGAGGCGACTCAAAATCGAGGAGGAATGGGGTTCTGAAGGGGTGGAGTTCATTTTTGAGGTCGACTCAAAAATCGAGGAGAATGGGTTTGAAGGGGTGGAGTTCATTTTTGAGGCGACTCAAAAATCGAGGAGAATGGGGTTTGAAGGGGTGGAGTTCATTTTTGAGTGCGACTCAAAAATCGAGGAGAATGGGGTTTGAAGGGGTGGAGTTCATTTTTGAGGCGACTCAAAAATCGAGGAGAATGGGGTTTGAAGGGGTGGAGTTCATTTTTGAGGCGACTTCAAAAATCGAGGAGAATGGGGTTTGAAGGGGTGGAGTTCATTTTTGAGGCTGACTCAAAAATCGAGGAGAATGGGGTTTGAAGGGGTGGAGTTCATTTTTGAGGCGACTCAAAAATCGAGGAGAATGGGGTTTGAAGGGGTGGAGTTCATTTTTGAGGCGACTCAAAAATCGAAGGAGAATGGGGTTTGAAGGGGTGGAGTTCATTTTTGAGGCGACTCAAAAAATCGAGGAGAATGGGGTTTGAAGGGGTGGAGTTCATTTTTGAGGCGACTCAAAAATCGAGGAGAATGGGGTTTGAAGGGGTGGAGTTCATTTTTGAGGCGACTCAAAAATCGAGGAGAATGGGGTTTGAAGGGGTGGAGTTCATTTTTGAGTCGACTCAAAAATCGAGGAGAATGGGGTTTGAAGGGGTGGAGTTCATTTTTGAGGCGACTCAAAAATCGAGGAGAATGGGGTTTGAAGGGGTGGAGTTCATTTTTGAGGCGACTCAAAATCGAGGAGAATGGGGTTCGAAGGGGTGGAGTTCATTTTTGAGGCGACTCAAAAATCGAGGAGAATGGGGTTTGAAGGGGTGGAGTTCATTTTTGAGGCGACTCAAAAATCGAGGAGAATGGGGTTTGAAGGGGTGGAGTTCATTTTTGAGGCGACTCAAAATCGAGGAGAATGGGGTTTCGAAGGGGTGGAGTTCATTTTTGAGGCGACTCAAAAATCGAGGAGAATGGGGTTTGAAGGGGTGGAGTTCATTTTTGAGGCGACTCAAAAATCGAGGAGAATGGGGTTCTGAAGGGGTGGAGTTCATTTTTGAGGCGACTCAAAAATCGAGGAGGAATGGGGGTTTGAAGGGGTGGAGTTCATTTTTGAGGCGACTCAAAAATCGAGGAGAATGGGGTTTGAAGGGGTGGAGTTCATTTTTGAGGCGACCTCAAAATCGAGGAGAATGGGGTTCGAAGGGGTGGAGTTCATTTTTGAGGCGACTCAAAAATCGAGGAGAATGGGTTTTGAAGGGGTGGAGTTCATTTTTTGAGGCGACTCAAAATCGAGGAGAACTGGGGTTCTGAAGGGGTGGAGTTCATTTTTGAGGCGACTCAAAAATCGAGGAGAATGGGGTTTGAAGGGGTGGAGTTCATTTTGAGGCGACTCAAAAATCGAGGAGAATGGGGTTTGAAGGGGTGGAGTTCATTTTTGAGTCGACTAAAAAATCGAGGAGAATGGGGTTTTGAAGGGTGGAGTTCATTTTTGAGGCGACTCAAAAATCGAGGAGAATGGGGTTTGAAGGGGTGGAGTTCATTTTTTGAGGCGACTCAAAAATCGAGGAGAATGGGGTTCGAAGGGGTGGAGTTCATTTTTGAGGCGACTCAAAAATCGAGGAGAATGGGGTTTGAAGGGGTGGAGTTCATTTTTGAGGCGACTCAAAAATCGAGGAGAATGGGGTTTGAAGGGGTGGAGTTCATTTTTGAGTCGACTCAAAAATCGAGGAGAATGGGGTTTGAAGGGGGTGGAGTTCATTTTTGAGGCGACTCAAAATCGAGGAGAATGGGGTTTGAAGGGGTGGAGTTCATTTTTGAGGCGACTCAAAATCGAGGAGAATGGGGTTTTGAAGGGGTGGAGTTCATTTTGAGGCGACTCAAAAATCGAGGAGAATGGGGTTTGAAGGGGTGGAGTTCATTTTTGAGTCGACTCAAAAATCGAGGAGAATGGGGTTTGAAGGGGTGGAGTTCATTTTTGAGGCGACTCAAAAATCGAGGAGAATGGGGTTCGAAGGGGTGGAGTTCATTTTTGAGGCGACTCAAAAATCGAGGAGAATGGGGTTTGAAGGGGTGGAGTTCATTTTTGAGGCGACTCAAAAATCGAGGAGAATGGGGTTTGAAGGGTGGAGTTCATTTTTGAGGCGACTCAAAAATCGAGGAGAATGGGGTTTGAAGGGGTGGAGTTCATTTTTGAGGCGACTCAAAATCGAGGAGAATGGGTTTGAAGGGGTGGAGTTCATTTTTGAGGGCGACTCAAAAATCGAGGAGAATGGGGTTTGAAGGGGTGGAGTTCATTTTTGAGTCGACTCAAAAATCGAGGAGAATGGGGTTTGAAGGGGTGGAGTTCATTTTTGAGGCGACTCAAAAATCGAGGAGAATGGGGTTTGAAGGGGTGGAGTTCATTTTTGAGGCGACTCAAAAATCGAGGAGAATGGGGTTTCGAAGGGGTGGAGTTCATTTTTGAGGTCGACTAAAAAATCGAGGAGAATGGGTTTGAAGGGGTGGAGTTCATTTTTGAGGCGACTCAAAAATCGAGGAGAATGGGGTTTGAAGGGGTGGAGTTCATTTTGAGTCGACTAAAAATCGAGGAGAATGGGGTTTGAAGGGGTGGAGTTCATTTTTGAGGCGACTCAAAATCGAGGAGAATGGGGTTTGAAGGGGTGGAGTTCATTTTTGAGGCGACTCAAAAATCGAGGAGAATGGGGTTTGAAGGGGTGGAGTTCATTTTTGAGGCGACTCAAAAATCGAGGAGAATGGGGTTTGAAGGGGTGGAGTTCATTTTTGAGGCGACTCAAAAATCGAGGAGAATGGGGTTTGAAGGGGTGGAGTTCATTTTTGAGGCGACTCAAAAATCGAGGAGAATGGGGTTTGAAGGGGTGGAGTTCATTTTTGAGGCGACTCAAAAATCGAGGAGAATGGGGTTTGAAGGGGTGGAGTTCATTTTTGAGGCGACTCAAAATCGAGGAGAATGGGGTTTGAAGGGGTGGAGTTCATTTTTGAGTCGACTAAAAATCGAGGAGAATGGGGTTTGAAGGGGTGGAGTTCATTTTTGAGGCGACTCAAAAATCGAGGAGAATGGGGTTTGAAGGGGTGGAGTTCATTTTTGAGGCGACTCAAAAATCGAGGAGAATGGGGTTCTGAAGGGGTGGAGTTCATTTTTGAGGCGACTCAAAAATCGAGGAGAATGGGGTTTGAAGGGGTGGAGTTCATTTTTGAGGCGACTCAAAAATCGAGGAGAATGGGGTTTGAAGGGGTGGAGTTCATTTTTGAGTCGACTCAAAATCGAGGAGAATGGGGTTTGAAGGGGTGGAGTTCATTTTTGAGGCGACTCAAAAATCGAGGAGAATGGGGTTTGAAGGGGTGGAGTTCATTTTTGAGGCGACTCAAAAATCGAGGAGAATGGGGTTTGAAGGGGTGGAGTTCATTTTTGAGGCGACTCAAAATCGAGGAGAATGGGTTTGAAGGGGTGGAGTTCATTTTTGAGGCGACTCAAAAATCGAGGAGAATGGGGTTTGAAGGGGTGGAGTTCATTTTTGAGGCGACTCAAAAATCGAGGAGAATGGGGTTTGAAGGGGTGGAGGTTCATTTTTGAGGCGACTCAAAAATCGAGGAGAATGGGGTTTGAAGGGGTGGAGTTCATTTTTGAGGCGACTCAAAAATCGAGGAGAATGGGGTTTCGAAGGGGTGGAGTTCATTTTTGAGGCGACTCAAAAATCGAGGAGAATGGGGTTTGAAGGGGTGGAGTTCATTTTTGAGGCGACTCAAAAATCGAGGAGAATGGGGTTTGAAGGGGTGGAGTTCATTTTTGAGGCGACTCAAAAATCGAGGAGAATGGGGTTTGAAGGGGTGGAGTTCATTTTTGAGTCGACTCAAAAATCGAGGAGAATGGGGTTTGAAGGGGTGGAGTTCATTTTTGAGGCGACTCAAAAATCGAGGAGAATGGGGTTTGAAGGGGTGGAGTTCATTTTTGAGGCGACTCAAAAATCGAGGAGAATGGGGTTTGAAGGGGTGGAGTTCATTTTTGAGGCGACTCAAAAATCGAGGAGAATGGGGTTTGAAGGGGTGGAGTTCATTTTTGAGGCGACTCAAAAATCGAGGAGAATGGGGTTTGAAGGGGTGGAGTTCATTTTTGAGGCGACTCAAAAATCGAGGAGAATGGGGTTTGAAGGGGTGGAGTTCATTTTTGAGGCGACTCAAAAATCGAGGAGAATGGGGTTTGAAGGGGTGGAGTTCATTTTTGAGGCGACTCAAAAATCGAGGAGAATGGGGTTTGAAGGGGTGGAGTTCATTTTTGAGGCGACTCAAAAATCGAGGAGAATGGGGTTCGAAGGGGTGGAGTTCATTTTTGAGGCGACTCAAAAATCGAGGAGAATGGGGTTTGAAGGGGTGGAGTTCATTTTTGAGGCGACTCAAAATCGAGGAGAATGGGGTTTGAAGGGGTGGAGTTCATTTTTGAGGTCGACTCAAAAATCGAGGAGAATGGGGTTTGAAGGGGTGGAGTTCATTTTTGAGGCGACTCAAAAATCGAGGAGAATGGGGTTTGAAGGGGTGGAGTTCATTTTTGAGGCGACTCAAAAATCGAGGAGAATGGGGTTTGAAGGGGTGGAGTTCATTTTTGAGGCGACTCAAAATCGAGGAGAATGGGGTTTGAAGGGGTGGAGTTCATTTTTGAGGCGACTCAAAAATCGAGGAGAATGGGGTTTGAAGGGGTGGAGTTCATTTTTGAGGCGACTCAAAAATCGAGGAGAATGGGTTTGAAGGGGTGGAGTTCATTTTTGAGTCGACTAAAAAATCGAGGAGAATGGGGTTTGAAGGGGTGGAGTTCATTTTTGAGGCGACTCAAAATCGAGGAGAATGGGGTTTGAAGGGGTGGAGTTCATTTTTGAGGCGACTCAAAAATCGAGGAGAATGGGGTTTGAAGGGGTGGAGTTCATTTTTGAGGCGACTCAAAAATCGAGGAGAATGGGGTTTGAAGGGGTGGAGTTCATTTTTGAGGCGACTCAAAAATCGAGGAGAATGGGGTTTGAAGGGGTGGAGTTCATTTTGAGGCGACTCAAAAATCGAGGAGAATGGGGTTTGAAGGGGTGGAGTTCATTTTTGAGGCGACTCAAAAATCGAGGAGAATGGGGTTTGAAGGGGTGGAGTTCATTTTTGAGGCGACTCAAAAATCGAGGAGAATGGGGTTTGAAGGGGTGGAGTTCATTTTTGAGGCGACTCAAAAATCGAGGAGAATGGGGTTTGAAGGGGTGGAGTTCATTTTTGAGGCGACTCAAAAATCGAGGAGAATGGGGTTTGAAGGGGTGGAGTTCATTTTTGAGGCGACTCAAAAATCGAGGAGAATGGGGTTTGAAGGGGTGGAGTTCATTTTTGAGGCGACTCAAAAATCGAGGAGAATGGGGTTTGAAGGGGTGGAGTTCATTTTTGAGGCGACTCAAAAATCGAGGAGAATGGGGTTCGAAGGGGTGGAGTTCATTTTTGAGGCGACTAAAAAATCGAGGAGAATGGGGTTTGAAGGGGTGGAGTTCATTTTTGAGGCGACTCAAAAATCGAGGAGAATGGGGTTTGAAGGGGTGGAGTTCATTTTTGAGGCGACTCAAAAATCGAGGAGAATGGGGTTTGAAGGGGTGGAGTTCATTTTTGAGGCGACTCAAAAATCGAGGAGAATGGGGTTTGAAGGGGTGGAGTTCATTTTTGAGGCGACTCAAAAATCGAGGAGAATGGGGTTTGAAGGGGTGGAGTTCATTTTTGAGGCGACTCAAAAATCGAGGAGAATGGGGTTTGAAGGGGTGGAGTTCATTTTTGAGGCGACTCAAAAATCGAGGAGAATGGGGTTTGAAGGGGTGGAGTTCATTTTTGAGGCGACTCAAAAATCGAGGAGAATGGGGTTTGAAGGGGTGGAGTTCATTTTTGAGGCGACTCAAAAATCGAGGAGAATGGGGTTTGAAGGGGTGGAGTTCATTTTTGAGGCGACTCAAAAATCGAGGAGAATGGGGTTTGAAGGGGTGGAGTTCATTTTTGAGGCGACTCAAAAATCGAGGAGAATGGGGTTTGAAGGGGTGGAGTTCATTTTTGAGGCGACTCAAAAATCGAGGAGAATGGGGTTTGAAGGGGTGGAGTTCATTTTTGAGGCGACTCAAAAATCGAGGAGAATGGGGTTTGAAGGGGTGGAGTTCATTTTTGAGGCGACTCAAAAATCGAGGAGAATGGGGTTTGAAGGGGTGGAGTTCATTTTTGAGGCGACTCAAAAATCGAGGAGAATGGGGTTTGAAGGGGTGGAGTTCATTTTTGAGGCGACTCAAAAATCGAGGAGAATGGGGTTTGAAGGGGTGGAGTTCATTTTTGAGGCGACTCAAAAATCGAGGAGAATGGGGTTTGAAGGGGTGGAGTTCATTTTTGAGGCGACTCAAAAATCGAGGAGAATGGGGTTTGAAGGGGTGGAGTTCATTTTTGAGGCGACTCAAAAATCGAGGAGAATGGGGTTTGAAGGGGTGGAGTTCATTTTTGAGGCGACTCAAAAATCGAGGAGAATGGGGTTTGAAGGGGTGGAGTTCATTTTTGAGGCGACTCAAAAATCGAGGAGAATGGGGTTTGAAGGGGTGGAGTTCATTTTTGAGGCGACTCAAAAATCGAGGAGAATGGGGTTTGAAGGGGTGGAGTTCATTTTTGAGGCGACTCAAAAATCGAGGAGAATGGGGTTTGAAGGGGTGGAGTTCATTTTTGAGGCGACTCAAAAATCGAGGAGAATGGGGTTTGAAGGGGTGGAGTTCATTTTTGAGGCGACTCAAAAATCGAGGAGAATGGGGTTTGAAGGGGTGGAGTTCATTTTTGAGGCGACTCAAAAATCGAGGAGAATGGGGTTTGAAGGGGTGGAGTTCATTTTTGAGGCGACTCAAAAATCGAGGAGAATGGGGTTTGAAGGGGTGGAGTTCATTTTTGAGGCGACTCAAAAATCGAGGAGAATGGGGTTTGAAGGGGTGGAGTTCATTTTTGAGGCGACTCAAAAATCGAGGAGAATGGGGTTTGAAGGGGTGGAGTTCATTTTTGAGGCGACTCAAAAATCGAGGAGAATGGGGTTTGAAGGGGTGGAGTTCATTTTTGAGGCGACTCAAAAATCGAGGAGAATGGGGTTTCGAAGGGGTGGAGTTCATTTTTGAGGCGACTCAAAAATCGAGGAGAATGGGGTTTGAAGGGGTGGAGTTCATTTTTGAGGCGACTCAAAAATCGAGGAGAATGGGGTTTGAAGGGGTGGAGTTCATTTTTGAGGCGACTCAAAAATCGAGGAGAATGGGGTTTGAAGGGGTGGAGTTCATTTTTGAGGCGACTCAAAAATCGAGGAGAATGGGGTTTGAAGGGGTGGAGTTCATTTTTGAGGCGACTCAAAAATCGAGGAGAATGGGGTTTGAAGGGGTGGAGTTCATTTTTGAGGCGACTCAAAAATCGAGGAGAATGGGGTTTGAAGGGGTGGAGTTCATTTTTGAGGCGACTCAAAAATCGAGGAGAATGGGGTTTGAAGGGGTGGAGTTCATTTTTGAGGCGACTCAAAAATCGAGGAGAATGGGGTTTGAAGGGGTGGAGTTCATTTTTGAGGCGACTCAAAAATCGAGGAGAATGGGGTTTGAAGGGGTGGAGTTCATTTTTGAGGCGACTCAAAAATCGAGGAGAATGGGGTTTGAAGGGGTGGAGTTCATTTTTGAGGCGACTCAAAAATCGAGGAGAATGGGGTTTGAAGGGGTGGAGTTCATTTTTGAGGCGACTCAAAAATCGAGGAGAATGGGGTTTGAAGGGGTGGAGTTCATTTTTGAGGCGACTCAAAAATCGAGGAGAATGGGGTTTGAAGGGGTGGAGTTCATTTTTGAGGCGACTCAAAAATCGAGGAGAATGGGGTTTGAAGGGGTGGAGTTCATTTTTGAGGCGACTCAAAAATCGAGGAGAATGGGGTTTGAAGGGGTGGAGTTCATTTTTGAGGCGACTCAAAAATCGAGGAGAATGGGGTTTGAAGGGGTGGAGTTCATTTTTGAGGCGACTCAAAAATCGAGGAGAATGGGGTTTGAAGGGGTGGAGTTCATTTTTGAGGCGACTCAAAAATCGAGGAGAATGGGGTTTGAAGGGGTGGAGTTCATTTTTGAGGCGACTCAAAAATCGAGGAGAATGGGGTTTGAAGGGGTGGAGTTCATTTTTGAGGCGACTCAAAAATCGAGGAGAATGGGGTTTGAAGGGGTGGAGTTCATTTTTGAGGCGACTCAAAAATCGAGGAGAATGGGGTTTGAAGGGGTGGAGTTCATTTTTGAGGCGACTCAAAAATCGAGGAGAATGGGGTTTGAAGGGGTGGAGTTCATTTTTGAGGCGACTCAAAAATCGAGGAGAATGGGGTTTGAAGGGGTGGAGTTCATTTTTGAGGCGACTCAAAAATCGAGGAGAATGGGGTTTGAAGGGGTGGAGTTCATTTTTGAGGCGACTCAAAAATCGAGGAGAATGGGGTTTGAAGGGGTGGAGTTCATTTTTGAGGCGACTCAAAAATCGAGGAGAATGGGGTTTGAAGGGGTGGAGTTCATTTTTGAGGCGACTCAAAAATCGAGGAGAATGGGGTTTGAAGGGGTGGAGTTCATTTTTGAGGCGACTCAAAAATCGAGGAGAATGGGGTTTGAAGGGGTGGAGTTCATTTTTGAGGCGACTCAAAAATCGAGGAGAATGGGGTTTGAAGGGGTGGAGTTCATTTTTGAGGCGACTCAAAAATCGAGGAGAATGGGGTTTGAAGGGGTGGAGTTCATTTTTGAGGCGACTCAAAAATCGAGGAGAATGGGGTTTGAAGGGGTGGAGTTCATTTTTGAGGCGACTCAAAAATCGAGGAGAATGGGGTTTGAAGGGGTGGAGTTCATTTTTGAGGCGACTCAAAAATCGAGGAGAATGGGGTTTGAAGGGGTGGAGTTCATTTTTGAGGCGACTCAAAAATCGAGGAGAATGGGGTTTGAAGGGGTGGAGTTCATTTTTGAGGCGACTCAAAAATCGAGGAGAATGGGGTTTGAAGGGGTGGAGTTCATTTTTGAGGCGACTCAAAAATCGAGGAGAATGGGGTTTGAAGGGGTGGAGTTCATTTTTGAGGCGACTCAAAAATCGAGGAGAATGGGGTTTGAAGGGGTGGAGTTCATTTTTGAGGCGACTCAAAAATCGAGGAGAATGGGGTTTGAAGGGGTGGAGTTCATTTTTGAGGCGACTCAAAAATCGAGGAGAATGGGGTTTGAAGGGGTGGAGTTCATTTTTGAGGCGACTCAAAAATCGAGGAGAATGGGGTTTGAAGGGGTGGAGTTCATTTTTGAGGCGACTCAAAAATCGAGGAGAATGGGGTTTGAAGGGGTGGAGTTCATTTTTGAGGCGACTCAAAAATCGAGGAGAATGGGGTTTGAAGGGGTGGAGTTCATTTTTGAGGCGACTCAAAAATCGAGGAGAATGGGGTTTGAAGGGGTGGAGTTCATTTTTGAGGCGACTCAAAAATCGAGGAGAATGGGGTTTGAAGGGGTGGAGTTCATTTTTGAGGCGACTCAAAAATCGAGGAGAATGGGGTTTGAAGGGGTGGAGTTCATTTTTGAGGCGACTCAAAAATCGAGGAGAATGGGGTTTGAAGGGGTGGAGTTCATTTTTGAGGCGACTCAAAAATCGAGGAGAATGGGGTTTGAAGGGGTGGAGTTCATTTTTGAGGCGACTCAAAAATCGAGGAGAATGGGGTTTGAAGGGGTGGAGTTCATTTTTGAGGCGACTCAAAAATCGAGGAGAATGGGGTTTGAAGGGGTGGAGTTCATTTTTGAGGCGACTCAAAAATCGAGGAGAATGGGGTTTGAAGGGGTGGAGTTCATTTTTGAGGCGACTCAAAAATCGAGGAGAATGGGGTTTGAAGGGGTGGAGTTCATTTTTGAGGCGACTCAAAAATCGAGGAGAATGGGGTTTGAAGGGGTGGAGTTCATTTTTGAGGCGACTCAAAAATCGAGGAGAATGGGGTTTGAAGGGGTGGAGTTCATTTTTGAGGCGACTCAAAAATCGAGGAGAATGGGGTTTGAAGGGGTGGAGTTCATTTTTGAGGCGACTCAAAAATCGAGGAGAATGGGGTTTGAAGGGGTGGAGTTCATTTTTGAGGCGACTCAAAAATCGAGGAGAATGGGGTTTGAAGGGGTGGAGTTCATTTTTGAGGCGACTCAAAAATCGAGGAGAATGGGGTTTGAAGGGGTGGAGTTCATTTTTGAGGCGACTCAAAAATCGAGGAGAATGGGGTTTGAAGGGGTGGAGTTCATTTTTGAGGCGACTCAAAAATCGAGGAGAATGGGGTTTGAAGGGGTGGAGTTCATTTTTGAGGCGACTCAAAAATCGAGGAGAATGGGGTTTGAAGGGGTGGAGTTCATTTTTGAGGCGACTCAAAAATCGAGGAGAATGGGGTTTGAAGGGGTGGAGTTCATTTTTGAGGCGACTCAAAAATCGAGGAGAATGGGGTTTGAAGGGGTGGAGTTCATTTTTGAGGCGACTCAAAAATCGAGGAGAATGGGGTTTGAAGGGGTGGAGTTCATTTTTGAGGCGACTCAAAAATCGAGGAGAATGGGGTTTGAAGGGGTGGAGTTCATTTTTGAGGCGACTCAAAAATCGAGGAGAATGGGGTTTGAAGGGGTGGAGTTCATTTTTGAGGCGACTCAAAAATCGAGGAGAATGGGGTTTGAAGGGGTGGAGTTCATTTTTGAGGCGACTCAAAAATCGAGGAGAATGGGGTTTGAAGGGGTGGAGTTCATTTTTGAGGCGACTCAAAAATCGAGGAGAATGGGGTTTGAAGGGGTGGAGTTCATTTTTGAGGCGACTCAAAAATCGAGGAGAATGGGGTTTGAAGGGGTGGAGTTCATTTTTGAGGCGACTCAAAAATCGAGGAGAATGGGGTTTGAAGGGGTGGAGTTCATTTTTGAGGCGACTCAAAAATCGAGGAGAATGGGGTTTGAAGGGGTGGAGTTCATTTTTGAGGCGACTCAAAAATCGAGGAGAATGGGGTTTGAAGGGGTGGAGTTCATTTTTGAGGCGACTCAAAAATCGAGGAGAATGGGGTTTGAAGGGGTGGAGTTCATTTTTGAGGCGACTCAAAAATCGAGGAGAATGGGGTTTGAAGGGGTGGAGTTCATTTTTGAGGCGACTCAAAAATCGAGGAGAATGGGGTTTGAAGGGGTGGAGTTCATTTTTGAGGCGACTCAAAAATCGAGGAGAATGGGGTTTGAAGGGGTGGAGTTCATTTTTGAGGCGACTCAAAAATCGAGGAGAATGGGGTTTGAAGGGGTGGAGTTCATTTTTGAGGCGACTCAAAAATCGAGGAGAATGGGGTTTGAAGGGGTGGAGTTCATTTTTGAGGCGACTCAAAAATCGAGGAGAATGGGGTTTGAAGGGGTGGAGTTCATTTTTGAGGCGACTCAAAAATCGAGGAGAATGGGGTTTGAAGGGGTGGAGTTCATTTTTGAGGCGACTCAAAAATCGAGGAGAATGGGGTTTGAAGGGGTGGAGTTCATTTTTGAGGCGACTCAAAAATCGAGGAGAATGGGGTTTGAAGGGGTGGAGTTCATTTTTGAGGCGACTCAAAAATCGAGGAGAATGGGGTTTGAAGGGGTGGAGTTCATTTTTGAGGCGACTCAAAAATCGAGGAGAATGGGGTTTGAAGGGGTGGAGTTCATTTTTGAGGCGACTCAAAAATCGAGGAGAATGGGGTTTGAAGGGGTGGAGTTCATTTTTGAGGCGACTCAAAAATCGAGGAGAATGGGGTTTGAAGGGGTGGAGTTCATTTTTGAGGCGACTCAAAAATCGAGGAGAATGGGGTTTGAAGGGGTGGAGTTCATTTTTGAGGCGACTCAAAAATCGAGGAGAATGGGGTTTGAAGGGGTGGAGTTCATTTTTGAGGCGACTCAAAAATCGAGGAGAATGGGGTTTGAAGGGGTGGAGTTCATTTTTGAGGCGACTCAAAAATCGAGGAGAATGGGGTTTGAAGGGGTGGAGTTCATTTTTGAGGCGACTCAAAAATCGAGGAGAATGGGGTTTGAAGGGGTGGAGTTCATTTTTGAGGCGACTCAAAAATCGAGGAGAATGGGGTTTGAAGGGGTGGAGTTCATTTTTGAGGCGACTCAAAAATCGAGGAGAATGGGGTTTGAAGGGGTGGAGTTCATTTTTGAGGCGACTCAAAAATCGAGGAGAATGGGGTTTGAAGGGGTGGAGTTCATTTTTGAGGCGACTCAAAAATCGAGGAGAATGGGGTTTGAAGGGGTGGAGTTCATTTTTGAGGCGACTCAAAAATCGAGGAGAATGGGGTTTGAAGGGGTGGAGTTCATTTTTGAGGCGACTCAAAAATCGAGGAGAATGGGGTTTGAAGGGGTGGAGTTCATTTTTGAGGCGACTCAAAAATCGAGGAGAATGGGGTTTGAAGGGGTGGAGTTCATTTTTGAGGCGACTCAAAAATCGAGGAGAATGGGGTTTGAAGGGGTGGAGTTCATTTTTGAGGCGACTCAAAAATCGAGGAGAATGGGGTTTGAAGGGGTGGAGTTCATTTTTGAGGCGACTCAAAAATCGAGGAGAATGGGGTTTGAAGGGGTGGAGTTCATTTTTGAGGCGACTCAAAAATCGAGGAGAATGGGGTTTGAAGGGGTGGAGTTCATTTTTGAGGCGACTCAAAAATCGAGGAGAATGGGGTTTGAAGGGGTGGAGTTCATTTTTGAGGCGACTCAAAAATCGAGGAGAATGGGGTTTGAAGGGGTGGAGTTCATTTTTGAGGCGACTCAAAAATCGAGGAGAATGGGGTTTGAAGGGGTGGAGTTCATTTTTGAGGCGACTCAAAAATCGAGGAGAATGGGGTTTGAAGGGGTGGAGTTCATTTTTGAGGCGACTCAAAAATCGAGGAGAATGGGGTTTGAAGGGGTGGAGTTCATTTTTGAGGCGACTCAAAAATCGAGGAGAATGGGGTTTGAAGGGGTGGAGTTCATTTTTGAGGCGACTCAAAAATCGAGGAGAATGGGGTTTGAAGGGGTGGAGTTCATTTTTGAGGCGACTCAAAAATCGAGGAGAATGGGGTTTGAAGGGGTGGAGTTCATTTTTGAGGCGACTCAAAAATCGAGGAGAATGGGGTTTGAAGGGGTGGAGTTCATTTTTGAGGCGACTCAAAAATCGAGGAGAATGGGGTTTGAAGGGGTGGAGTTCATTTTTGAGGCGACTCAAAAATCGAGGAGAATGGGGTTTGAAGGGGTGGAGTTCATTTTTGAGGCGACTCAAAAATCGAGGAGAATGGGGTTTGAAGGGGTGGAGTTCATTTTTGAGGCGACTCAAAAATCGAGGAGAATGGGGTTTGAAGGGGTGGAGTTCATTTTTGAGGCGACTCAAAAATCGAGGAGAATGGGGTTTGAAGGGGTGGAGTTCATTTTTGAGGCGACTCAAAAATCGAGGAGAATGGGGTTTGAAGGGGTGGAGTTCATTTTTGAGGCGACTCAAAAATCGAGGAGAATGGGGTTTGAAGGGGTGGAGTTCATTTTTGAGGCGACTCAAAAATCGAGGAGAATGGGGTTTGAAGGGGTGGAGTTCATTTTTGAGGCGACTCAAAAATCGAGGAGAATGGGGTTTGAAGGGGTGGAGTTCATTTTTGAGGCGACTCAAAAATCGAGGAGAATGGGGTTTGAAGGGGTGGAGTTCATTTTTGAGGCGACTCAAAAATCGAGGAGAATGGGGTTTGAAGGGGTGGAGTTCATTTTTGAGGCGACTCAAAAATCGAGGAGAATGGGGTTTGAAGGGGTGGAGTTCATTTTTGAGGCGACTCAAAAATCGAGGAGAATGGGGTTTGAAGGGGTGGAGTTCATTTTTGAGGCGACTCAAAAATCGAGGAGAATGGGGTTTGAAGGGGTGGAGTTCATTTTTGAGGCGACTCAAAAATCGAGGAGAATGGGGTTTGAAGGGGTGGAGTTCATTTTTGAGGCGACTCAAAAATCGAGGAGAATGGGGTTTGAAGGGGTGGAGTTCATTTTTGAGGCGACTCAAAAATCGAGGAGAATGGGGTTTGAAGGGGTGGAGTTCATTTTTGAGGCGACTCAAAAATCGAGGAGAATGGGGTTTGAAGGGGTGGAGTTCATTTTTGAGGCGACTCAAAAATCGAGGAGAATGGGGTTTGAAGGGGTGGAGTTCATTTTTGAGGCGACTCAAAAATCGAGGAGAATGGGGTTTGAAGGGGTGGAGTTCATTTTTGAGGCGACTCAAAAATCGAGGAGAATGGGGTTTGAAGGGGTGGAGTTCATTTTTGAGGCGACTCAAAAATCGAGGAGAATGGGGTTTGAAGGGGTGGAGTTCATTTTTGAGGCGACTCAAAAATCGAGGAGAATGGGGTTTGAAGGGGTGGAGTTCATTTTTGAGGCGACTCAAAAATCGAGGAGAATGGGGTTTGAAGGGGTGGAGTTCATTTTTGAGGCGACTCAAAAATCGAGGAGAATGGGGTTTGAAGGGGTGGAGTTCATTTTTGAGGCGACTCAAAAATCGAGGAGAATGGGGTTTGAAGGGGTGGAGTTCATTTTTGAGGCGACTCAAAAATCGAGGAGAATGGGGTTTGAAGGGGTGGAGTTCATTTTTGAGGCGACTCAAAAATCGAGGAGAATGGGGTTTGAAGGGGTGGAGTTCATTTTTGAGGCGACTCAAAAATCGAGGAGAATGGGGTTTGAAGGGGTGGAGTTCATTTTTGAGGCGACTCAAAAATCGAGGAGAATGGGGTTTGAAGGGGTGGAGTTCATTTTTGAGGCGACTCAAAAATCGAGGAGAATGGGGTTTGAAGGGGTGGAGTTCATTTTTGAGGCGACTCAAAAATCGAGGAGAATGGGGTTTGAAGGGGTGGAGTTCATTTTTGAGGCGACTCAAAAATCGAGGAGAATGGGGTTTGAAGGGGTGGAGTTCATTTTTGAGGCGACTCAAAAATCGAGGAGAATGGGGTTTGAAGGGGTGGAGTTCATTTTTGAGGCGACTCAAAAATCGAGGAGAATGGGGTTTGAAGGGGTGGAGTTCATTTTTGAGGCGACTCAAAAATCGAGGAGAATGGGGTTTGAAGGGGTGGAGTTCATTTTTGAGGCGACTCAAAAATCGAGGAGAATGGGGTTTGAAGGGGTGGAGTTCATTTTTGAGGCGACTCAAAAATCGAGGAGAATGGGGTTTGAAGGGGTGGAGTTCATTTTTGAGGCGACTCAAAAATCGAGGAGAATGGGGTTTGAAGGGGTGGAGTTCATTTTTGAGGCGACTCAAAAATCGAGGAGAATGGGGTTTGAAGGGGTGGAGTTCATTTTTGAGGCGACTCAAAAATCGAGGAGAATGGGGTTTGAAGGGGTGGAGTTCATTTTTGAGGCGACTCAAAAATCGAGGAGAATGGGGTTTGAAGGGGTGGAGTTCATTTTTGAGGCGACTCAAAAATCGAGGAGAATGGGGTTTGAAGGGGTGGAGTTCATTTTTGAGGCGACTCAAAAATCGAGGAGAATGGGGTTTGAAGGGGTGGAGTTCATTTTTGAGGCGACTCAAAAATCGAGGAGAATGGGGTTTGAAGGGGTGGAGTTCATTTTTGAGGCGACTCAAAAATCGAGGAGAATGGGGTTTGAAGGGGTGGAGTTCATTTTTGAGGCGACTCAAAAATCGAGGAGAATGGGGTTTGAAGGGGTGGAGTTCATTTTTGAGGCGACTCAAAAATCGAGGAGAATGGGGTTTGAAGGGGTGGAGTTCATTTTTGAGGCGACTCAAAAATCGAGGAGAATGGGGTTTGAAGGGGTGGAGTTCATTTTTGAGGCGACTCAAAAATCGAGGAGAATGGGGTTTGAAGGGGTGGAGTTCATTTTTGAGGCGACTCAAAAATCGAGGAGAATGGGGTTTGAAGGGGTGGAGTTCATTTTTGAGGCGACTCAAAAATCGAGGAGAATGGGGTTTGAAGGGGTGGAGTTCATTTTTGAGGCGACTCAAAAATCGAGGAGAATGGGGTTTGAAGGGGTGGAGTTCATTTTTGAGGCGACTCAAAAATCGAGGAGAATGGGGTTTGAAGGGGTGGAGTTCATTTTTGAGGCGACTCAAAAATCGAGGAGAATGGGGTTTGAAGGGGTGGAGTTCATTTTTGAGGCGACTCAAAAATCGAGGAGAATGGGGTTTGAAGGGGTGGAGTTCATTTTTGAGGCGACTCAAAAATCGAGGAGAATGGGGTTTGAAGGGGTGGAGTTCATTTTTGAGGCGACTCAAAAATCGAGGAGAATGGGGTTTGAAGGGGTGGAGTTCATTTTTGAGGCGACTCAAAAATCGAGGAGAATGGGGTTTGAAGGGGTGGAGTTCATTTTTGAGGCGACTCAAAAATCGAGGAGAATGGGGTTTGAAGGGGTGGAGTTCATTTTTGAGGCGACTCAAAAATCGAGGAGAATGGGGTTTGAAGGGGTGGAGTTCATTTTTGAGGCGACTCAAAAATCGAGGAGAATGGGGTTTGAAGGGGTGGAGTTCATTTTTGAGGCGACTCAAAAATCGAGGAGAATGGGGTTTGAAGGGGTGGAGTTCATTTTTGAGGCGACTCAAAAATCGAGGAGAATGGGGTTTGAAGGGGTGGAGTTCATTTTTGAGGCGACTCAAAAATCGAGGAGAATGGGGTTTGAAGGGGTGGAGTTCATTTTTGAGGCGACTCAAAAATCGAGGAGAATGGGGTTTGAAGGGGTGGAGTTCATTTTTGAGGCGACTCAAAAATCGAGGAGAATGGGGTTTGAAGGGGTGGAGTTCATTTTTGAGGCGACTCAAAAATCGAGGAGAATGGGGTTTGAAGGGGTGGAGTTCATTTTTGAGGCGACTCAAAAATCGAGGAGAATGGGGTTTGAAGGGGTGGAGTTCATTTTTGAGGCGACTCAAAAATCGAGGAGAATGGGGTTTGAAGGGGTGGAGTTCATTTTTGAGGCGACTCAAAAATCGAGGAGAATGGGGTTTGAAGGGGTGGAGTTCATTTTTGAGGCGACTCAAAAATCGAGGAGAATGGGGTTTGAAGGGGTGGAGTTCATTTTTGAGGCGACTCAAAAATCGAGGAGAATGGGGTTTGAAGGGGTGGAGTTCATTTTTGAGGCGACTCAAAAATCGAGGAGAATGGGGTTTGAAGGGGTGGAGTTCATTTTTGAGGCGACTCAAAAATCGAGGAGAATGGGGTTTGAAGGGGTGGAGTTCATTTTTGAGGCGACTCAAAAATCGAGGAGAATGGGGTTTGAAGGGGTGGAGTTCATTTTTGAGGCGACTCAAAAATCGAGGAGAATGGGGTTTGAAGGGGTGGAGTTCATTTTTGAGGCGACTCAAAAATCGAGGAGAATGGGGTTTGAAGGGGTGGAGTTCATTTTTGAGGCGACTCAAAAATCGAGGAGAATGGGGTTTGAAGGGGTGGAGTTCATTTTTGAGGCGACTCAAAAATCGAGGAGAATGGGGTTTGAAGGGGTGGAGTTCATTTTTGAGGCGACTCAAAAATCGAGGAGAATGGGGTTTGAAGGGGTGGAGTTCATTTTTGAGGCGACTCAAAAATCGAGGAGAATGGGGTTTGAAGGGGTGGAGTTCATTTTTGAGGCGACTCAAAAATCGAGGAGAATGGGGTTTGAAGGGGTGGAGTTCATTTTTGAGGCGACTCAAAAATCGAGGAGAATGGGGTTTGAAGGGGTGGAGTTCATTTTTGAGGCGACTCAAAAATCGAGGAGAATGGGGTTTGAAGGGGTGGAGTTCATTTTTGAGGCGACTCAAAAATCGAGGAGAATGGGGTTTGAAGGGGTGGAGTTCATTTTTGAGGCGACTCAAAAATCGAGGAGAATGGGGTTTGAAGGGGTGGAGTTCATTTTTGAGGCGACTCAAAAATCGAGGAGAATGGGGTTTGAAGGGGTGGAGTTCATTTTTGAGGCGACTCAAAAATCGAGGAGAATGGGGTTTGAAGGGGTGGAGTTCATTTTTGAGGCGACTCAAAAATCGAGGAGAATGGGGTTTGAAGGGGTGGAGTTCATTTTTGAGGCGACTCAAAAATCGAGGAGAATGGGGTTTGAAGGGGTGGAGTTCATTTTTGAGGCGACTCAAAAATCGAGGAGAATGGGGTTTGAAGGGGTGGAGTTCATTTTTGAGGCGACTCAAAAATCGAGGAGAATGGGGTTTGAAGGGGTGGAGTTCATTTTTGAGGCGACTCAAAAATCGAGGAGAATGGGGTTTGAAGGGGTGGAGTTCATTTTTGAGGCGACTCAAAAATCGAGGAGAATGGGGTTTGAAGGGGTGGAGTTCATTTTTGAGGCGACTCAAAAATCGAGGAGAATGGGGTTTGAAGGGGTGGAGTTCATTTTTGAGGCGACTCAAAAATCGAGGAGAATGGGGTTTGAAGGGGTGGAGTTCATTTTTGAGGCGACTCAAAAATCGAGGAGAATGGGGTTTGAAGGGGTGGAGTTCATTTTTGAGGCGACTCAAAAATCGAGGAGAATGGGGTTTGAAGGGGTGGAGTTCATTTTTGAGGCGACTCAAAAATCGAGGAGAATGGGGTTTGAAGGGGTGGAGTTCATTTTTGAGGCGACTCAAAAATCGAGGAGAATGGGGTTTGAAGGGGTGGAGTTCATTTTTGAGGCGACTCAAAAATCGAGGAGAATGGGGTTTGAAGGGGTGGAGTTCATTTTTGAGGCGACTCAAAAATCGAGGAGAATGGGGTTTGAAGGGGTGGAGTTCATTTTTGAGGCGACTCAAAAATCGAGGAGAATGGGGTTTGAAGGGGTGGAGTTCATTTTTGAGGCGACTCAAAAATCGAGGAGAATGGGGTTTGAAGGGGTGGAGTTCATTTTTGAGGCGACTCAAAAATCGAGGAGAATGGGGTTTGAAGGGGTGGAGTTCATTTTTGAGGCGACTCAAAAATCGAGGAGAATGGGGTTTGAAGGGGTGGAGTTCATTTTTGAGGCGACTCAAAAATCGAGGAGAATGGGGTTTGAAGGGGTGGAGTTCATTTTTGAGGCGACTCAAAAATCGAGGAGAATGGGGTTTGAAGGGGTGGAGTTCATTTTTGAGGCGACTCAAAAATCGAGGAGAATGGGGTTTGAAGGGGTGGAGTTCATTTTTGAGGCGACTCAAAAATCGAGGAGAATGGGGTTTGAAGGGGTGGAGTTCATTTTTGAGGCGACTCAAAAATCGAGGAGAATGGGGTTTGAAGGGGTGGAGTTCATTTTTGAGGCGACTCAAAAATCGAGGAGAATGGGGTTTGAAGGGGTGGAGTTCATTTTTGAGGCGACTCAAAAATCGAGGAGAATGGGGTTTGAAGGGGTGGAGTTCATTTTTGAGGCGACTCAAAAATCGAGGAGAATGGGGTTTGAAGGGGTGGAGTTCATTTTTGAGGCGACTCAAAAATCGAGGAGAATGGGGTTTGAAGGGGTGGAGTTCATTTTTGAGGCGACTCAAAAATCGAGGAGAATGGGGTTTGAAGGGGTGGAGTTCATTTTTGAGGCGACTCAAAAATCGAGGAGAATGGGGTTTGAAGGGGTGGAGTTCATTTTTGAGGCGACTCAAAAATCGAGGAGAATGGGGTTTGAAGGGGTGGAGTTCATTTTTGAGGCGACTCAAAAATCGAGGAGAATGGGGTTTGAAGGGGTGGAGTTCATTTTTGAGGCGACTCAAAAATCGAGGAGAATGGGGTTTGAAGGGGTGGAGTTCATTTTTGAGGCGACTCAAAAATCGAGGAGAATGGGGTTTGAAGGGGTGGAGTTCATTTTTGAGGCGACTCAAAAATCGAGGAGAATGGGGTTTGAAGGGGTGGAGTTCATTTTTGAGGCGACTCAAAAATCGAGGAGAATGGGGTTTGAAGGGGTGGAGTTCATTTTTGAGGCGACTCAAAAATCGAGGAGAATGGGGTTTGAAGGGGTGGAGTTCATTTTTGAGGCGACTCAAAAATCGAGGAGAATGGGGTTTGAAGGGGTGGAGTTCATTTTTGAGGCGACTCAAAAATCGAGGAGAATGGGGTTTGAAGGGGTGGAGTTCATTTTTGAGGCGACTCAAAAATCGAGGAGAATGGGGTTTGAAGGGGTGGAGTTCATTTTTGAGGCGACTCAAAAATCGAGGAGAATGGGGTTTGAAGGGGTGGAGTTCATTTTTGAGGCGACTCAAAAATCGAGGAGAATGGGGTTTGAAGGGGTGGAGTTCATTTTTGAGGCGACTCAAAAATCGAGGAGAATGGGGTTTGAAGGGGTGGAGTTCATTTTTGAGGCGACTCAAAAATCGAGGAGAATGGGGTTTGAAGGGGTGGAGTTCATTTTTGAGGCGACTCAAAAATCGAGGAGAATGGGGTTTGAAGGGGTGGAGTTCATTTTTGAGGCGACTCAAAAATCGAGGAGAATGGGGTTTGAAGGGGTGGAGTTCATTTTTGAGGCGACTCAAAAATCGAGGAGAATGGGGTTTGAAGGGGTGGAGTTCATTTTTGAGGCGACTCAAAAATCGAGGAGAATGGGGTTTGAAGGGGTGGAGTTCATTTTTGAGGCGACTCAAAAATCGAGGAGAATGGGGTTTGAAGGGGTGGAGTTCATTTTTGAGGCGACTCAAAAATCGAGGAGAATGGGGTTTGAAGGGGTGGAGTTCATTTTTGAGGCGACTCAAAAATCGAGGAGAATGGGGTTTGAAGGGGTGGAGTTCATTTTTGAGGCGACTCAAAAATCGAGGAGAATGGGGTTTGAAGGGGTGGAGTTCATTTTTGAGGCGACTCAAAAATCGAGGAGAATGGGGTTTGAAGGGGTGGAGTTCATTTTTGAGGCGACTCAAAAATCGAGGAGAATGGGGTTTGAAGGGGTGGAGTTCATTTTTGAGGCGACTCAAAAATCGAGGAGAATGGGGTTTGAAGGGGTGGAGTTCATTTTTGAGGCGACTCAAAAATCGAGGAGAATGGGGTTTGAAGGGGTGGAGTTCATTTTTGAGGCGACTCAAAAATCGAGGAGAATGGGGTTTGAAGGGGTGGAGTTCATTTTTGAGGCGACTCAAAAATCGAGGAGAATGGGGTTTGAAGGGGTGGAGTTCATTTTTGAGGCGACTCAAAAATCGAGGAGAATGGGGTTTGAAGGGGTGGAGTTCATTTTTGAGGCGACTCAAAAATCGAGGAGAATGGGGTTTGAAGGGGTGGAGTTCATTTTTGAGGCGACTCAAAAATCGAGGAGAATGGGGTTTGAAGGGGTGGAGTTCATTTTTGAGGCGACTCAAAAATCGAGGAGAATGGGGTTTGAAGGGGTGGAGTTCATTTTTGAGGCGACTCAAAAATCGAGGAGAATGGGGTTTGAAGGGGTGGAGTTCATTTTTGAGGCGACTCAAAAATCGAGGAGAATGGGGTTTGAAGGGGTGGAGTTCATTTTTGAGGCGACTCAAAAATCGAGGAGAATGGGGTTTGAAGGGGTGGAGTTCATTTTTGAGGCGACTCAAAAATCGAGGAGAATGGGGTTTGAAGGGGTGGAGTTCATTTTTGAGGCGACTCAAAAATCGAGGAGAATGGGGTTTGAAGGGGTGGAGTTCATTTTTGAGGCGACTCAAAAATCGAGGAGAATGGGGTTTGAAGGGGTGGAGTTCATTTTTGAGGCGACTCAAAAATCGAGGAGAATGGGGTTTGAAGGGGTGGAGTTCATTTTTGAGGCGACTCAAAAATCGAGGAGAATGGGGTTTGAAGGGGTGGAGTTCATTTTTGAGGCGACTCAAAAATCGAGGAGAATGGGGTTTGAAGGGGTGGAGTTCATTTTTGAGGCGACTCAAAAATCGAGGAGAATGGGGTTTGAAGGGGTGGAGTTCATTTTTGAGGCGACTCAAAAATCGAGGAGAATGGGGTTTGAAGGGGTGGAGTTCATTTTTGAGGCGACTCAAAAATCGAGGAGAATGGGGTTTGAAGGGGTGGAGTTCATTTTTGAGGCGACTCAAAAATCGAGGAGAATGGGGTTTGAAGGGGTGGAGTTCATTTTTGAGGCGACTCAAAAATCGAGGAGAATGGGGTTTGAAGGGGTGGAGTTCATTTTTGAGGCGACTCAAAAATCGAGGAGAATGGGGTTTGAAGGGGTGGAGTTCATTTTTGAGGCGACTCAAAAATCGAGGAGAATGGGGTTTGAAGGGGTGGAGTTCATTTTTGAGGCGACTCAAAAATCGAGGAGAATGGGGTTTGAAGGGGTGGAGTTCATTTTTGAGGCGACTCAAAAATCGAGGAGAATGGGGTTTGAAGGGGTGGAGTTCATTTTTGAGGCGACTCAAAAATCGAGGAGAATGGGGTTTGAAGGGGTGGAGTTCATTTTTGAGGCGACTCAAAAATCGAGGAGAATGGGGTTTGAAGGGGTGGAGTTCATTTTTGAGGCGACTCAAAAATCGAGGAGAATGGGGTTTGAAGGGGTGGAGTTCATTTTTGAGGCGACTCAAAAATCGAGGAGAATGGGGTTTGAAGGGGTGGAGTTCATTTTTGAGGCGACTCAAAAATCGAGGAGAATGGGGTTTGAAGGGGTGGAGTTCATTTTTGAGGCGACTCAAAAATCGAGGAGAATGGGGTTTGAAGGGGTGGAGTTCATTTTTGAGGCGACTCAAAAATCGAGGAGAATGGGGTTTGAAGGGGTGGAGTTCATTTTTGAGGCGACTCAAAAATCGAGGAGAATGGGGTTTGAAGGGGTGGAGTTCATTTTTGAGGCGACTCAAAAATCGAGGAGAATGGGGTTTGAAGGGGTGGAGTTCATTTTTGAGGCGACTCAAAAATCGAGGAGAATGGGGTTTGAAGGGGTGGAGTTCATTTTTGAGGCGACTCAAAAATCGAGGAGAATGGGGTTTGAAGGGGTGGAGTTCATTTTTGAGGCGACTCAAAAATCGAGGAGAATGGGGTTTGAAGGGGTGGAGTTCATTTTTGAGGCGACTCAAAAATCGAGGAGAATGGGGTTTGAAGGGGTGGAGTTCATTTTTGAGGCGACTCAAAAATCGAGGAGAATGGGGTTTGAAGGGGTGGAGTTCATTTTTGAGGCGACTCAAAAATCGAGGAGAATGGGGTTTGAAGGGGTGGAGTTCATTTTTGAGGCGACTCAAAAATCGAGGAGAATGGGGTTTGAAGGGGTGGAGTTCATTTTTGAGGCGACTCAAAAATCGAGGAGAATGGGGTTTGAAGGGGTGGAGTTCATTTTTGAGGCGACTCAAAAATCGAGGAGAATGGGGTTTGAAGGGGTGGAGTTCATTTTTGAGGCGACTCAAAAATCGAGGAGAATGGGGTTTGAAGGGGTGGAGTTCATTTTTGAGGCGACTCAAAAATCGAGGAGAATGGGGTTTGAAGGGGTGGAGTTCATTTTTGAGGCGACTCAAAAATCGAGGAGAATGGGGTTTGAAGGGGTGGAGTTCATTTTTGAGGCGACTCAAAAATCGAGGAGAATGGGGTTTGAAGGGGTGGAGTTCATTTTTGAGGCGACTCAAAAATCGAGGAGAATGGGGTTTGAAGGGGTGGAGTTCATTTTTGAGGCGACTCAAAAATCGAGGAGAATGGGGTTTGAAGGGGTGGAGTTCATTTTTGAGGCGACTCAAAAATCGAGGAGAATGGGGTTTGAAGGGGTGGAGTTCATTTTTGAGGCGACTCAAAAATCGAGGAGAATGGGGTTTGAAGGGGTGGAGTTCATTTTTGAGGCGACTCAAAAATCGAGGAGAATGGGGTTTGAAGGGGTGGAGTTCATTTTTGAGGCGACTCAAAAATCGAGGAGAATGGGGTTTGAAGGGGTGGAGTTCATTTTTGAGGCGACTCAAAAATCGAGGAGAATGGGGTTTGAAGGGGTGGAGTTCATTTTTGAGGCGACTCAAAAATCGAGGAGAATGGGGTTTGAAGGGGTGGAGTTCATTTTTGAGGCGACTCAAAAATCGAGGAGAATGGGGTTTGAAGGGGTGGAGTTCATTTTTGAGGCGACTCAAAAATCGAGGAGAATGGGGTTTGAAGGGGTGGAGTTCATTTTTGAGGCGACTCAAAAATCGAGGAGAATGGGGTTTGAAGGGGTGGAGTTCATTTTTGAGGCGACTCAAAAATCGAGGAGAATGGGGTTTGAAGGGGTGGAGTTCATTTTTGAGGCGACTCAAAAATCGAGGAGAATGGGGTTTGAAGGGGTGGAGTTCATTTTTGAGGCGACTCAAAAATCGAGGAGAATGGGGTTTGAAGGGGTGGAGTTCATTTTTGAGGCGACTCAAAAATCGAGGAGAATGGGGTTTGAAGGGGTGGAGTTCATTTTTGAGGCGACTCAAAAATCGAGGAGAATGGGGTTTGAAGGGGTGGAGTTCATTTTTGAGGCGACTCAAAAATCGAGGAGAATGGGGTTTGAAGGGGTGGAGTTCATTTTTGAGGCGACTCAAAAATCGAGGAGAATGGGGTTTGAAGGGGTGGAGTTCATTTTTGAGGCGACTCAAAAATCGAGGAGAATGGGGTTTGAAGGGGTGGAGTTCATTTTTGAGGCGACTCAAAAATCGAGGAGAATGGGGTTTGAAGGGGTGGAGTTCATTTTTGAGGCGACTCAAAAATCGAGGAGAATGGGGTTTGAAGGGGTGGAGTTCATTTTTGAGGCGACTCAAAAATCGAGGAGAATGGGGTTTGAAGGGGTGGAGTTCATTTTTGAGGCGACTCAAAAATCGAGGAGAATGGGGTTTGAAGGGGTGGAGTTCATTTTTGAGGCGACTCAAAAATCGAGGAGAATGGGGTTTGAAGGGGTGGAGTTCATTTTTGAGGCGACTCAAAAATCGAGGAGAATGGGGTTTGAAGGGGTGGAGTTCATTTTTGAGGCGACTCAAAAATCGAGGAGAATGGGGTTTGAAGGGGTGGAGTTCATTTTTGAGGCGACTCAAAAATCGAGGAGAATGGGGTTTGAAGGGGTGGAGTTCATTTTTGAGGCGACTCAAAAATCGAGGAGAATGGGGTTTGAAGGGGTGGAGTTCATTTTTGAGGCGACTCAAAAATCGAGGAGAATGGGGTTTGAAGGGGTGGAGTTCATTTTTGAGGCGACTCAAAAATCGAGGAGAATGGGGTTTGAAGGGGTGGAGTTCATTTTTGAGGCGACTCAAAAATCGAGGAGAATGGGGTTTGAAGGGGTGGAGTTCATTTTTGAGGCGACTCAAAAATCGAGGAGAATGGGGTTTGAAGGGGTGGAGTTCATTTTTGAGGCGACTCAAAAATCGAGGAGAATGGGGTTTGAAGGGGTGGAGTTCATTTTTGAGGCGACTCAAAAATCGAGGAGAATGGGGTTTGAAGGGGTGGAGTTCATTTTTGAGGCGACTCAAAAATCGAGGAGAATGGGGTTTGAAGGGGTGGAGTTCATTTTTGAGGCGACTCAAAAATCGAGGAGAATGGGGTTTGAAGGGGTGGAGTTCATTTTTGAGGCGACTCAAAAATCGAGGAGAATGGGGTTTGAAGGGGTGGAGTTCATTTTTGAGGCGACTCAAAAATCGAGGAGAATGGGGTTTGAAGGGGTGGAGTTCATTTTTGAGGCGACTCAAAAATCGAGGAGAATGGGGTTTGAAGGGGTGGAGTTCATTTTTGAGGCGACTCAAAAATCGAGGAGAATGGGGTTTGAAGGGGTGGAGTTCATTTTTGAGGCGACTCAAAAATCGAGGAGAATGGGGTTTGAAGGGGTGGAGTTCATTTTTGAGGCGACTCAAAAATCGAGGAGAATGGGGTTTGAAGGGGTGGAGTTCATTTTTGAGGCGACTCAAAAATCGAGGAGAATGGGGTTTGAAGGGGTGGAGTTCATTTTTGAGGCGACTCAAAAATCGAGGAGAATGGGGTTTGAAGGGGTGGAGTTCATTTTTGAGGCGACTCAAAAATCGAGGAGAATGGGGTTTGAAGGGGTGGAGTTCATTTTTGAGGCGACTCAAAAATCGAGGAGAATGGGGTTTGAAGGGGTGGAGTTCATTTTTGAGGCGACTCAAAAATCGAGGAGAATGGGGTTTGAAGGGGTGGAGTTCATTTTTGAGGCGACTCAAAAATCGAGGAGAATGGGGTTTGAAGGGGTGGAGTTCATTTTTGAGGCGACTCAAAAATCGAGGAGAATGGGGTTTGAAGGGGTGGAGTTCATTTTTGAGGCGACTCAAAAATCGAGGAGAATGGGGTTTGAAGGGGTGGAGTTCATTTTTGAGGCGACTCAAAAATCGAGGAGAATGGGGTTTGAAGGGGTGGAGTTCATTTTTGAGGCGACTCAAAAATCGAGGAGAATGGGGTTTGAAGGGGTGGAGTTCATTTTTGAGGCGACTCAAAAATCGAGGAGAATGGGGTTTGAAGGGGTGGAGTTCATTTTTGAGGCGACTCAAAAATCGAGGAGAATGGGGTTTGAAGGGGTGGAGTTCATTTTTGAGGCGACTCAAAAATCGAGGAGAATGGGGTTTGAAGGGGTGGAGTTCATTTTTGAGGCGACTCAAAAATCGAGGAGAATGGGGTTTGAAGGGGTGGAGTTCATTTTTGAGGCGACTCAAAAATCGAGGAGAATGGGGTTTGAAGGGGTGGAGTTCATTTTTGAGGCGACTCAAAAATCGAGGAGAATGGGGTTTGAAGGGGTGGAGTTCATTTTTGAGGCGACTCAAAAATCGAGGAGAATGGGGTTTGAAGGGGTGGAGTTCATTTTTGAGGCGACTCAAAAATCGAGGAGAATGGGGTTTGAAGGGGTGGAGTTCATTTTTGAGGCGACTCAAAAATCGAGGAGAATGGGGTTTGAAGGGGTGGAGTTCATTTTTGAGGCGACTCAAAAATCGAGGAGAATGGGGTTTGAAGGGGTGGAGTTCATTTTTGAGGCGACTCAAAAATCGAGGAGAATGGGGTTTGAAGGGGTGGAGTTCATTTTTGAGGCGACTCAAAAATCGAGGAGAATGGGGTTTGAAGGGGTGGAGTTCATTTTTGAGGCGACTCAAAAATCGAGGAGAATGGGGTTTGAAGGGGTGGAGTTCATTTTTGAGGCGACTCAAAAATCGAGGAGAATGGGGTTTGAAGGGGTGGAGTTCATTTTTGAGGCGACTCAAAAATCGAGGAGAATGGGGTTTGAAGGGGTGGAGTTCATTTTTGAGGCGACTCAAAAATCGAGGAGAATGGGGTTTGAAGGGGTGGAGTTCATTTTTGAGGCGACTCAAAAATCGAGGAGAATGGGGTTTGAAGGGGTGGAGTTCATTTTTGAGGCGACTCAAAAATCGAGGAGAATGGGGTTTGAAGGGGTGGAGTTCATTTTTGAGGCGACTCAAAAATCGAGGAGAATGGGGTTTGAAGGGGTGGAGTTCATTTTTGAGGCGACTCAAAAATCGAGGAGAATGGGGTTTGAAGGGGTGGAGTTCATTTTTGAGGCGACTCAAAAATCGAGGAGAATGGGGTTTGAAGGGGTGGAGTTCATTTTTGAGGCGACTCAAAAATCGAGGAGAATGGGGTTTGAAGGGGTGGAGTTCATTTTTGAGGCGACTCAAAAATCGAGGAGAATGGGGTTTGAAGGGGTGGAGTTCATTTTTGAGGCGACTCAAAAATCGAGGAGAATGGGGTTTGAAGGGGTGGAGTTCATTTTTGAGGCGACTCAAAAATCGAGGAGAATGGGGTTTGAAGGGGTGGAGTTCATTTTTGAGGCGACTCAAAAATCGAGGAGAATGGGGTTTGAAGGGGTGGAGTTCATTTTTGAGGCGACTCAAAAATCGAGGAGAATGGGGTTTGAAGGGGTGGAGTTCATTTTTGAGGCGACTCAAAAATCGAGGAGAATGGGGTTTGAAGGGGTGGAGTTCATTTTTGAGGCGACTCAAAAATCGAGGAGAATGGGGTTTGAAGGGGTGGAGTTCATTTTTGAGGCGACTCAAAAATCGAGGAGAATGGGGTTTGAAGGGGTGGAGTTCATTTTTGAGGCGACTCAAAAATCGAGGAGAATGGGGTTTGAAGGGGTGGAGTTCATTTTTGAGGCGACTCAAAAATCGAGGAGAATGGGGTTTGAAGGGGTGGAGTTCATTTTTGAGGCGACTCAAAAATCGAGGAGAATGGGGTTTGAAGGGGTGGAGTTCATTTTTGAGGCGACTCAAAAATCGAGGAGAATGGGGTTTGAAGGGGTGGAGTTCATTTTTGAGGCGACTCAAAAATCGAGGAGAATGGGGTTTGAAGGGGTGGAGTTCATTTTTGAGGCGACTCAAAAATCGAGGAGAATGGGGTTTGAAGGGGTGGAGTTCATTTTTGAGGCGACTCAAAAATCGAGGAGAATGGGGTTTGAAGGGGTGGAGTTCATTTTTGAGGCGACTCAAAAATCGAGGAGAATGGGGTTTGAAGGGGTGGAGTTCATTTTTGAGGCGACTCAAAAATCGAGGAGAATGGGGTTTGAAGGGGTGGAGTTCATTTTTGAGGCGACTCAAAAATCGAGGAGAATGGGGTTTGAAGGGGTGGAGTTCATTTTTGAGGCGACTCAAAAATCGAGGAGAATGGGGTTTGAAGGGGTGGAGTTCATTTTTGAGGCGACTCAAAAATCGAGGAGAATGGGGTTTGAAGGGGTGGAGTTCATTTTTGAGGCGACTCAAAAATCGAGGAGAATGGGGTTTGAAGGGGTGGAGTTCATTTTTGAGGCGACTCAAAAATCGAGGAGAATGGGGTTTGAAGGGGTGGAGTTCATTTTTGAGGCGACTCAAAAATCGAGGAGAATGGGGTTTGAAGGGGTGGAGTTCATTTTTGAGGCGACTCAAAAATCGAGGAGAATGGGGTTTGAAGGGGTGGAGTTCATTTTTGAGGCGACTCAAAAATCGAGGAGAATGGGGTTTGAAGGGGTGGAGTTCATTTTTGAGGCGACTCAAAAATCGAGGAGAATGGGGTTTGAAGGGGTGGAGTTCATTTTTGAGGCGACTCAAAAATCGAGGAGAATGGGGTTTGAAGGGGTGGAGTTCATTTTTGAGGCGACTCAAAAATCGAGGAGAATGGGGTTTGAAGGGGTGGAGTTCATTTTTGAGGCGACTCAAAAATCGAGGAGAATGGGGTTTGAAGGGGTGGAGTTCATTTTTGAGGCGACTCAAAAATCGAGGAGAATGGGGTTTGAAGGGGTGGAGTTCATTTTTGAGGCGACTCAAAAATCGAGGAGAATGGGGTTTGAAGGGGTGGAGTTCATTTTTGAGGCGACTCAAAAATCGAGGAGAATGGGGTTTGAAGGGGTGGAGTTCATTTTTGAGGCGACTCAAAAATCGAGGAGAATGGGGTTTGAAGGGGTGGAGTTCATTTTTGAGGCGACTCAAAAATCGAGGAGAATGGGGTTTGAAGGGGTGGAGTTCATTTTTGAGGCGACTCAAAAATCGAGGAGAATGGGGTTTGAAGGGGTGGAGTTCATTTTTGAGGCGACTCAAAAATCGAGGAGAATGGGGTTTGAAGGGGTGGAGTTCATTTTTGAGGCGACTCAAAAATCGAGGAGAATGGGGTTTGAAGGGGTGGAGTTCATTTTTGAGGCGACTCAAAAATCGAGGAGAATGGGGTTTGAAGGGGTGGAGTTCATTTTTGAGGCGACTCAAAAATCGAGGAGAATGGGGTTTGAAGGGGTGGAGTTCATTTTTGAGGCGACTCAAAAATCGAGGAGAATGGGGTTTGAAGGGGTGGAGTTCATTTTTGAGGCGACTCAAAAATCGAGGAGAATGGGGTTTGAAGGGGTGGAGTTCATTTTTGAGGCGACTCAAAAATCGAGGAGAATGGGGTTTGAAGGGGTGGAGTTCATTTTTGAGGCGACTCAAAAATCGAGGAGAATGGGGTTTGAAGGGGTGGAGTTCATTTTTGAGGCGACTCAAAAATCGAGGAGAATGGGGTTTGAAGGGGTGGAGTTCATTTTTGAGGCGACTCAAAAATCGAGGAGAATGGGGTTTGAAGGGGTGGAGTTCATTTTTGAGGCGACTCAAAAATCGAGGAGAATGGGGTTTGAAGGGGTGGAGTTCATTTTTGAGGCGACTCAAAAATCGAGGAGAATGGGGTTTGAAGGGGTGGAGTTCATTTTTGAGGCGACTCAAAAATCGAGGAGAATGGGGTTTGAAGGGGTGGAGTTCATTTTTGAGGCGACTCAAAAATCGAGGAGAATGGGGTTTGAAGGGGTGGAGTTCATTTTTGAGGCGACTCAAAAATCGAGGAGAATGGGGTTTGAAGGGGTGGAGTTCATTTTTGAGGCGACTCAAAAATCGAGGAGAATGGGGTTTGAAGGGGTGGAGTTCATTTTTGAGGCGACTCAAAAATCGAGGAGAATGGGGTTTGAAGGGGTGGAGTTCATTTTTGAGGCGACTCAAAAATCGAGGAGAATGGGGTTTGAAGGGGTGGAGTTCATTTTTGAGGCGACTCAAAAATCGAGGAGAATGGGGTTTGAAGGGGTGGAGTTCATTTTTGAGGCGACTCAAAAATCGAGGAGAATGGGGTTTGAAGGGGTGGAGTTCATTTTTGAGGCGACTCAAAAATCGAGGAGAATGGGGTTTGAAGGGGTGGAGTTCATTTTTGAGGCGACTCAAAAATCGAGGAGAATGGGGTTTGAAGGGGTGGAGTTCATTTTTGAGGCGACTCAAAAATCGAGGAGAATGGGGTTTGAAGGGGTGGAGTTCATTTTTGAGGCGACTCAAAAATCGAGGAGAATGGGGTTTGAAGGGGTGGAGTTCATTTTTGAGGCGACTCAAAAATCGAGGAGAATGGGGTTTGAAGGGGTGGAGTTCATTTTTGAGGCGACTCAAAAATCGAGGAGAATGGGGTTTGAAGGGGTGGAGTTCATTTTTGAGGCGACTCAAAAATCGAGGAGAATGGGGTTTGAAGGGGTGGAGTTCATTTTTGAGGCGACTCAAAAATCGAGGAGAATGGGGTTTGAAGGGGTGGAGTTCATTTTTGAGGCGACTCAAAAATCGAGGAGAATGGGGTTTGAAGGGGTGGAGTTCATTTTTGAGGCGACTCAAAAATCGAGGAGAATGGGGTTTGAAGGGGTGGAGTTCATTTTTGAGGCGACTCAAAAATCGAGGAGAATGGGGTTTGAAGGGGTGGAGTTCATTTTTGAGGCGACTCAAAAATCGAGGAGAATGGGGTTTGAAGGGGTGGAGTTCATTTTTGAGGCGACTCAAAAATCGAGGAGAATGGGGTTTGAAGGGGTGGAGTTCATTTTTGAGGCGACTCAAAAATCGAGGAGAATGGGGTTTGAAGGGGTGGAGTTCATTTTTGAGGCGACTCAAAAATCGAGGAGAATGGGGTTTGAAGGGGTGGAGTTCATTTTTGAGGCGACTCAAAAATCGAGGAGAATGGGGTTTGAAGGGGTGGAGTTCATTTTTGAGGCGACTCAAAAATCGAGGAGAATGGGGTTTGAAGGGGTGGAGTTCATTTTTGAGGCGACTCAAAAATCGAGGAGAATGGGGTTTGAAGGGGTGGAGTTCATTTTTGAGGCGACTCAAAAATCGAGGAGAATGGGGTTTGAAGGGGTGGAGTTCATTTTTGAGGCGACTCAAAAATCGAGGAGAATGGGGTTTGAAGGGGTGGAGTTCATTTTTGAGGCGACTCAAAAATCGAGGAGAATGGGGTTTGAAGGGGTGGAGTTCATTTTTGAGGCGACTCAAAAATCGAGGAGAATGGGGTTTGAAGGGGTGGAGTTCATTTTTGAGGCGACTCAAAAATCGAGGAGAATGGGGTTTGAAGGGGTGGAGTTCATTTTTGAGGCGACTCAAAAATCGAGGAGAATGGGGTTTGAAGGGGTGGAGTTCATTTTTGAGGCGACTCAAAAATCGAGGAGAATGGGGTTTGAAGGGGTGGAGTTCATTTTTGAGGCGACTCAAAAATCGAGGAGAATGGGGTTTGAAGGGGTGGAGTTCATTTTTGAGGCGACTCAAAAATCGAGGAGAATGGGGTTTGAAGGGGTGGAGTTCATTTTTGAGGCGACTCAAAAATCGAGGAGAATGGGGTTTGAAGGGGTGGAGTTCATTTTTGAGGCGACTCAAAAATCGAGGAGAATGGGGTTTGAAGGGGTGGAGTTCATTTTTGAGGCGACTCAAAAATCGAGGAGAATGGGGTTTGAAGGGGTGGAGTTCATTTTTGAGGCGACTCAAAAATCGAGGAGAATGGGGTTTGAAGGGGTGGAGTTCATTTTTGAGGCGACTCAAAAATCGAGGAGAATGGGGTTTGAAGGGGTGGAGTTCATTTTTGAGGCGACTCAAAAATCGAGGAGAATGGGGTTTGAAGGGGTGGAGTTCATTTTTGAGGCGACTCAAAAATCGAGGAGAATGGGGTTTGAAGGGGTGGAGTTCATTTTTGAGGCGACTCAAAAATCGAGGAGAATGGGGTTTGAAGGGGTGGAGTTCATTTTTGAGGCGACTCAAAAATCGAGGAGAATGGGGTTTGAAGGGGTGGAGTTCATTTTTGAGGCGACTCAAAAATCGAGGAGAATGGGGTTTGAAGGGGTGGAGTTCATTTTTGAGGCGACTCAAAAATCGAGGAGAATGGGGTTTGAAGGGGTGGAGTTCATTTTTGAGGCGACTCAAAAATCGAGGAGAATGGGGTTTGAAGGGGTGGAGTTCATTTTTGAGGCGACTCAAAAATCGAGGAGAATGGGGTTTGAAGGGGTGGAGTTCATTTTTGAGGCGACTCAAAAATCGAGGAGAATGGGGTTTGAAGGGGTGGAGTTCATTTTTGAGGCGACTCAAAAATCGAGGAGAATGGGGTTTGAAGGGGTGGAGTTCATTTTTGAGGCGACTCAAAAATCGAGGAGAATGGGGTTTGAAGGGGTGGAGTTCATTTTTGAGGCGACTCAAAAATCGAGGAGAATGGGGTTTGAAGGGGTGGAGTTCATTTTTGAGGCGACTCAAAAATCGAGGAGAATGGGGTTTGAAGGGGTGGAGTTCATTTTTGAGGCGACTCAAAAATCGAGGAGAATGGGGTTTGAAGGGGTGGAGTTCATTTTTGAGGCGACTCAAAAATCGAGGAGAATGGGGTTTGAAGGGGTGGAGTTCATTTTTGAGGCGACTCAAAAATCGAGGAGAATGGGGTTTGAAGGGGTGGAGTTCATTTTTGAGGCGACTCAAAAATCGAGGAGAATGGGGTTTGAAGGGGTGGAGTTCATTTTTGAGGCGACTCAAAAATCGAGGAGAATGGGGTTTGAAGGGGTGGAGTTCATTTTTGAGGCGACTCAAAAATCGAGGAGAATGGGGTTTGAAGGGGTGGAGTTCATTTTTGAGGCGACTCAAAAATCGAGGAGAATGGGGTTTGAAGGGGTGGAGTTCATTTTTGAGGCGACTCAAAAATCGAGGAGAATGGGGTTTGAAGGGGTGGAGTTCATTTTTGAGGCGACTCAAAAATCGAGGAGAATGGGGTTTGAAGGGGTGGAGTTCATTTTTGAGGCGACTCAAAAATCGAGGAGAATGGGGTTTGAAGGGGTGGAGTTCATTTTTGAGGCGACTCAAAAATCGAGGAGAATGGGGTTTGAAGGGGTGGAGTTCATTTTTGAGGCGACTCAAAAATCGAGGAGAATGGGGTTTGAAGGGGTGGAGTTCATTTTTGAGGCGACTCAAAAATCGAGGAGAATGGGGTTTGAAGGGGTGGAGTTCATTTTTGAGGCGACTCAAAAATCGAGGAGAATGGGGTTTGAAGGGGTGGAGTTCATTTTTGAGGCGACTCAAAAATCGAGGAGAATGGGGTTTGAAGGGGTGGAGTTCATTTTTGAGGCGACTCAAAAATCGAGGAGAATGGGGTTTGAAGGGGTGGAGTTCATTTTTGAGGCGACTCAAAAATCGAGGAGAATGGGGTTTGAAGGGGTGGAGTTCATTTTTGAGGCGACTCAAAAATCGAGGAGAATGGGGTTTGAAGGGGTGGAGTTCATTTTTGAGGCGACTCAAAAATCGAGGAGAATGGGGTTTGAAGGGGTGGAGTTCATTTTTGAGGCGACTCAAAAATCGAGGAGAATGGGGTTTGAAGGGGTGGAGTTCATTTTTGAGGCGACTCAAAAATCGAGGAGAATGGGGTTTGAAGGGGTGGAGTTCATTTTTGAGGCGACTCAAAAATCGAGGAGAATGGGGTTTGAAGGGGTGGAGTTCATTTTTGAGGCGACTCAAAAATCGAGGAGAATGGGGTTTGAAGGGGTGGAGTTCATTTTTGAGGCGACTCAAAAATCGAGGAGAATGGGGTTTGAAGGGGTGGAGTTCATTTTTGAGGCGACTCAAAAATCGAGGAGAATGGGGTTTGAAGGGGTGGAGTTCATTTTTGAGGCGACTCAAAAATCGAGGAGAATGGGGTTTGAAGGGGTGGAGTTCATTTTTGAGGCGACTCAAAAATCGAGGAGAATGGGGTTTGAAGGGGTGGAGTTCATTTTTGAGGCGACTCAAAAATCGAGGAGAATGGGGTTTGAAGGGGTGGAGTTCATTTTTGAGGCGACTCAAAAATCGAGGAGAATGGGGTTTGAAGGGGTGGAGTTCATTTTTGAGGCGACTCAAAAATCGAGGAGAATGGGGTTTGAAGGGGTGGAGTTCATTTTTGAGGCGACTCAAAAATCGAGGAGAATGGGGTTTGAAGGGGTGGAGTTCATTTTTGAGGCGACTCAAAAATCGAGGAGAATGGGGTTTGAAGGGGTGGAGTTCATTTTTGAGGCGACTCAAAAATCGAGGAGAATGGGGTTTGAAGGGGTGGAGTTCATTTTTGAGGCGACTCAAAAATCGAGGAGAATGGGGTTTGAAGGGGTGGAGTTCATTTTGAGGCGACTCAAAAATCGAGGAGAATGGGGTTTGAAGGGGTGGAGTTCATTTTTGAGGCGACTCAAAAATCGAGGAGAATGGGGTTTGAAGGGGTGGAGTTCATTTTTGAGGCGACTCAAAAATCGAGGAGAATGGGGTTTGAAGGGGTGGAGTTCATTTTTGAGGCGACTCAAAAATCGAGGAGAATGGGGTTTGAAGGGGTGGAGTTCATTTTTGAGGCGACTCAAAAATCGAGGAGAATGGGGTTTGAAGGGGTGGAGTTCATTTTTGAGGCGACTCAAAAATCGAGGAGAATGGGGTTTGAAGGGGTGGAGTTCATTTTTGAGGCGACTCAAAAATCGAGGAGAATGGGGTTTGAAGGGGTGGAGTTCATTTTTGAGGCGACTCAAAAATCGAGGAGAATGGGGTTTGAAGGGGTGGAGTTCATTTTTGAGGCGACTCAAAAATCGAGGAGAATGGGGTTTGAAGGGGTGGAGTTCATTTTTGAGGCGACTCAAAAATCGAGGAGAATGGGGTTTGAAGGGGTGGAGTTCATTTTTGAGGCGACTCAAAAATCGAGGAGAATGGGGTTTGAAGGGGTGGAGTTCATTTTTGAGGCGACTCAAAAATCGAGGAGAATGGGGTTTGAAGGGGTGGAGTTCATTTTTGAGGCGACTCAAAAATCGAGGAGAATGGGGTTTGAAGGGGTGGAGTTCATTTTTGAGGCGACTCAAAAATCGAGGAGAATGGGGTTTGAAGGGGTGGAGTTCATTTTTGAGGCGACTCAAAAATCGAGGAGAATGGGGTTTGAAGGGGTGGAGTTCATTTTTGAGGCGACTCAAAAATCGAGGAGAATGGGGTTTGAAGGGGTGGAGTTCATTTTTGAGGCGACTCAAAAATCGAGGAGAATGGGGTTTGAAGGGGTGGAGTTCATTTTTGAGGCGACTCAAAAATCGAGGAGAATGGGGTTTGAAGGGGTGGAGTTCATTTTTGAGGCGACTCAAAAATCGAGGAGAATGGGGTTTGAAGGGGTGGAGTTCATTTTTGAGGCGACTCAAAAATCGAGGAGAATGGGGTTTGAAGGGGTGGAGTTCATTTTTGAGGCGACTCAAAAATCGAGGAGAATGGGGTTTGAAGGGGTGGAGTTCATTTTTGAGGCGACTCAAAAATCGAGGAGAATGGGGTTTGAAGGGGTGGAGTTCATTTTTGAGGCGACTCAAAAATCGAGGAGAATGGGGTTTGAAGGGGTGGAGTTCATTTTTGAGGCGACTCAAAAATCGAGGAGAATGGGGTTTGAAGGGGTGGAGTTCATTTTTGAGGCGACTCAAAAATCGAGGAGAATGGGGTTTGAAGGGGTGGAGTTCATTTTTGAGGCGACTCAAAAATCGAGGAGAATGGGGTTTGAAGGGGTGGAGTTCATTTTTGAGGCGACTCAAAAATCGAGGAGAATGGGGTTTGAAGGGGTGGAGTTCATTTTTGAGGCGACTCAAAAATCGAGGAGAATGGGGTTTGAAGGGGTGGAGTTCATTTTTGAGGCGACTCAAAAATCGAGGAGAATGGGGTTTGAAGGGGTGGAGTTCATTTTTGAGGCGACTCAAAAATCGAGGAGAATGGGGTTTGAAGGGGTGGAGTTCATTTTTGAGGCGACTCAAAAATCGAGGAGAATGGGGTTTGAAGGGGTGGAGTTCATTTTTGAGGCGACTCAAAAATCGAGGAGAATGGGGTTTGAAGGGGTGGAGTTCATTTTTGAGGCGACTCAAAAATCGAGGAGAATGGGGTTTGAAGGGGTGGAGTTCATTTTTGAGGCGACTCAAAAATCGAGGAGAATGGGGTTTGAAGGGGTGGAGTTCATTTTTGAGGCGACTCAAAAATCGAGGAGAATGGGGTTTGAAGGGGTGGAGTTCATTTTTGAGGCGACTCAAAAATCGAGGAGAATGGGGTTTGAAGGGGTGGAGTTCATTTTTGAGGCGACTCAAAAATCGAGGAGAATGGGGTTTGAAGGGGTGGAGTTCATTTTTGAGGCGACTCAAAAATCGAGGAGAATGGGGTTTGAAGGGGTGGAGTTCATTTTTGAGGCGACTCAAAAATCGAGGAGAATGGGGTTTGAAGGGGTGGAGTTCATTTTTGAGGCGACTCAAAAATCGAGGAGAATGGGGTTTGAAGGGGTGGAGTTCATTTTTGAGGCGACTCAAAAATCGAGGAGAATGGGGTTTGAAGGGGTGGAGTTCATTTTTGAGGCGACTCAAAAATCGAGGAGAATGGGGTTTGAAGGGGTGGAGTTCATTTTTGAGGCGACTCAAAAATCGAGGAGAATGGGGTTTGAAGGGGTGGAGTTCATTTTTGAGGCGACTCAAAAATCGAGGAGAATGGGGTTTGAAGGGGTGGAGTTCATTTTTGAGGCGACTCAAAAATCGAGGAGAATGGGGTTTGAAGGGGTGGAGTTCATTTTTGAGGCGACTCAAAAATCGAGGAGAATGGGGTTTGAAGGGGTGGAGTTCATTTTTGAGGCGACTCAAAAATCGAGGAGAATGGGGTTTGAAGGGGTGGAGTTCATTTTTGAGGCGACTCAAAAATCGAGGAGAATGGGGTTTGAAGGGGTGGAGTTCATTTTTGAGGCGACTCAAAAATCGAGGAGAATGGGGTTTGAAGGGGTGGAGTTCATTTTTGAGGCGACTCAAAAATCGAGGAGAATGGGGTTTGAAGGGGTGGAGTTCATTTTTGAGGCGACTCAAAAATCGAGGAGAATGGGGTTTGAAGGGGTGGAGTTCATTTTTGAGGCGACTCAAAAATCGAGGAGAATGGGGTTTGAAGGGGTGGAGTTCATTTTTGAGGCGACTCAAAAATCGAGGAGAATGGGGTTTGAAGGGGTGGAGTTCATTTTTGAGGCGACTCAAAAATCGAGGAGAATGGGGTTTGAAGGGGTGGAGTTCATTTTTGAGGCGACTCAAAAATCGAGGAGAATGGGGTTTGAAGGGGTGGAGTTCATTTTTGAGGCGACTCAAAAATCGAGGAGAATGGGGTTTGAAGGGGTGGAGTTCATTTTTGAGGCGACTCAAAAATCGAGGAGAATGGGGTTTGAAGGGGTGGAGTTCATTTTTGAGGCGACTCAAAAATCGAGGAGAATGGGGTTTGAAGGGGTGGAGTTCATTTTTGAGGCGACTCAAAAATCGAGGAGAATGGGGTTTGAAGGGGTGGAGTTCATTTTTGAGGCGACTCAAAAATCGAGGAGAATGGGGTTTGAAGGGGTGGAGTTCATTTTTGAGGCGACTCAAAAATCGAGGAGAATGGGGTTTGAAGGGGTGGAGTTCATTTTTGAGGCGACTCAAAAATCGAGGAGAATGGGGTTTGAAGGGGTGGAGTTCATTTTTGAGGCGACTCAAAAATCGAGGAGAATGGGGTTTGAAGGGGTGGAGTTCATTTTTGAGGCGACTCAAAAATCGAGGAGAATGGGGTTTGAAGGGGTGGAGTTCATTTTTGAGGCGACTCAAAAATCGAGGAGAATGGGGTTTGAAGGGGTGGAGTTCATTTTTGAGGCGACTCAAAAATCGAGGAGAATGGGGTTTGAAGGGGTGGAGTTCATTTTTGAGGCGACTCAAAAATCGAGGAGAATGGGGTTTGAAGGGGTGGAGTTCATTTTTGAGGCGACTCAAAAATCGAGGAGAATGGGGTTTGAAGGGGTGGAGTTCATTTTTGAGGCGACTCAAAAATCGAGGAGAATGGGGTTTGAAGGGGTGGAGTTCATTTTTGAGGCGACTCAAAAATCGAGGAGAATGGGGTTTGAAGGGGTGGAGTTCATTTTTGAGGCGACTCAAAAATCGAGGAGAATGGGGTTTGAAGGGGTGGAGTTCATTTTTGAGGCGACTCAAAAATCGAGGAGAATGGGGTTTGAAGGGGTGGAGTTCATTTTTGAGGCGACTCAAAAATCGAGGAGAATGGGGTTTGAAGGGGTGGAGTTCATTTTTGAGGCGACTCAAAAATCGAGGAGAATGGGGTTTGAAGGGGTGGAGTTCATTTTTGAGGCGACTCAAAAATCGAGGAGAATGGGGTTTGAAGGGGTGGAGTTCATTTTTGAGGCGACTCAAAAATCGAGGAGAATGGGGTTTGAAGGGGTGGAGTTCATTTTTGAGGCGACTCAAAAATCGAGGAGAATGGGGTTTGAAGGGGTGGAGTTCATTTTTGAGGCGACTCAAAAATCGAGGAGAATGGGGTTTGAAGGGGTGGAGTTCATTTTTGAGGCGACTCAAAAATCGAGGAGAATGGGGTTTGAAGGGGTGGAGTTCATTTTTGAGGCGACTCAAAAATCGAGGAGAATGGGGTTTGAAGGGGTGGAGTTCATTTTTGAGGCGACTCAAAAATCGAGGAGAATGGGGTTTGAAGGGGTGGAGTTCATTTTTGAGGCGACTCAAAAATCGAGGAGAATGGGGTTTGAAGGGGTGGAGTTCATTTTTGAGGCGACTCAAAAATCGAGGAGAATGGGGTTTGAAGGGGTGGAGTTCATTTTTGAGGCGACTCAAAAATCGAGGAGAATGGGGTTTGAAGGGGTGGAGTTCATTTTTGAGGCGACTCAAAAATCGAGGAGAATGGGGTTTGAAGGGGTGGAGTTCATTTTTGAGGCGACTCAAAAATCGAGGAGAATGGGGTTTGAAGGGGTGGAGTTCATTTTTGAGGCGACTCAAAAATCGAGGAGAATGGGGTTTGAAGGGGTGGAGTTCATTTTTGAGGCGACTCAAAAATCGAGGAGAATGGGGTTTGAAGGGGTGGAGTTCATTTTTGAGGCGACTCAAAAATCGAGGAGAATGGGGTTTGAAGGGGTGGAGTTCATTTTTGAGGCGACTCAAAAATCGAGGAGAATGGGGTTTGAAGGGGTGGAGTTCATTTTTGAGGCGACTCAAAAATCGAGGAGAATGGGGTTTGAAGGGGTGGAGTTCATTTTTGAGGCGACTCAAAAATCGAGGAGAATGGGGTTTGAAGGGGTGGAGTTCATTTTTGAGGCGACTCAAAAATCGAGGAGAATGGGGTTTGAAGGGGTGGAGTTCATTTTTGAGGCGACTCAAAAATCGAGGAGAATGGGGTTTGAAGGGGTGGAGTTCATTTTTGAGGCGACTCAAAAATCGAGGAGAATGGGGTTTGAAGGGGTGGAGTTCATTTTTGAGGCGACTCAAAAATCGAGGAGAATGGGGTTTGAAGGGGTGGAGTTCATTTTTGAGGCGACTCAAAAATCGAGGAGAATGGGGTTTGAAGGGGTGGAGTTCATTTTTGAGGCGACTCAAAAATCGAGGAGAATGGGGTTTGAAGGGGTGGAGTTCATTTTTGAGGCGACTCAAAAATCGAGGAGAATGGGGTTTGAAGGGGTGGAGTTCATTTTTGAGGCGACTCAAAAATCGAGGAGAATGGGGTTTGAAGGGGTGGAGTTCATTTTTGAGGCGACTCAAAAATCGAGGAGAATGGGGTTTGAAGGGGTGGAGTTCATTTTTGAGGCGACTCAAAAATCGAGGAGAATGGGGTTTGAAGGGGTGGAGTTCATTTTTGAGGCGACTCAAAAATCGAGGAGAATGGGGTTTGAAGGGGTGGAGTTCATTTTTGAGGCGACTCAAAAATCGAGGAGAATGGGGTTTGAAGGGGTGGAGTTCATTTTTGAGGCGACTCAAAAATCGAGGAGAATGGGGTTTGAAGGGGTGGAGTTCATTTTTGAGTCGACTAAAAAATCGAGGAGAATGGGGTTTGAAGGGGTGGAGTTCATTTTTGAGGCGACTCAAAAATCGAGGAGAATGGGGTTTGAAGGGGTGGAGTTCATTTTTGAGGCGACTCAAAAATCGAGGAGAATGGGGTTTGAAGGGGTGGAGTTCATTTTTGAGGCGACTCAAAAATCGAGGAGAATGGGGTTTGAAGGGGTGGAGTTCATTTTTGAGGCGACTCAAAAATCGAGGAGAATGGGGTTTGAAGGGGTGGAGTTCATTTTTGAGGCGACTCAAAAATCGAGGAGAATGGGGTTTGAAGGGGTGGAGTTCATTTTTGAGGCGACTCAAAAATCGAGGAGAATGGGGTTTGAAGGGGTGGAGTTCATTTTTGAGGCGACTCAAAAATCGAGGAGAATGGGGTTTGAAGGGGTGGAGTTCATTTTTGAGGCGACTCAAAAATCGAGGAGAATGGGGTTTGAAGGGGTGGAGTTCATTTTTGAGGCGACTCAAAAATCGAGGAGAATGGGGTTTGAAGGGGTGGAGTTCATTTTTGAGGCGACTCAAAAATCGAGGAGAATGGGGTTTGAAGGGGTGGAGTTCATTTTTGAGGCGACTCAAAAATCGAGGAGAATGGGGTTTGAAGGGGTGGAGTTCATTTTTGAGGCGACTCAAAAATCGAGGAGAATGGGGTTTGAAGGGGTGGAGTTCATTTTTGAGGCGACTCAAAAATCGAGGAGAATGGGGTTTGAAGGGGTGGAGTTCATTTTTGAGGCGACTCAAAAATCGAGGAGAATGGGGTTTGAAGGGGTGGAGTTCATTTTTGAGGCGACTCAAAAATCGAGGAGAATGGGGTTTGAAGGGGTGGAGTTCATTTTTGAGGCGACTCAAAAATCGAGGAGAATGGGGTTTGAAGGGGTGGAGTTCATTTTTGAGGCGACTCAAAAATCGAGGAGAATGGGGTTTGAAGGGGTGGAGTTCATTTTTGAGGCGACTCAAAAATCGAGGAGAATGGGGTTTGAAGGGGTGGAGTTCATTTTTGAGGCGACTCAAAAATCGAGGAGAATGGGGTTTGAAGGGGTGGAGTTCATTTTTGAGGCGACTCAAAAATCGAGGAGAATGGGGTTTGAAGGGGTGGAGTTCATTTTTGAGGCGACTCAAAAATCGAGGAGAATGGGGTTTGAAGGGGTGGAGTTCATTTTTGAGGCGACTCAAAAATCGAGGAGAATGGGGTTTGAAGGGGTGGAGTTCATTTTTGAGGCGACTCAAAAATCGAGGAGAATGGGGTTTGAAGGGGTGGAGTTCATTTTTGAGGCGACTCAAAAATCGAGGAGAATGGGGTTTGAAGGGGTGGAGTTCATTTTTGAGGCGACTCAAAAATCGAGGAGAATGGGGTTTGAAGGGGTGGAGTTCATTTTTGAGGCGACTCAAAAATCGAGGAGAATGGGGTTTGAAGGGGTGGAGTTCATTTTTGAGGCGACTCAAAAATCGAGGAGAATGGGGTTTGAAGGGGTGGAGTTCATTTTTGAGGCGACTCAAAAATCGAGGAGAATGGGGTTTGAAGGGGTGGAGTTCATTTTTGAGGCGACTCAAAAATCGAGGAGAATGGGGTTTGAAGGGGTGGAGTTCATTTTTGAGGCGACTCAAAAATCGAGGAGAATGGGGTTTGAAGGGGTGGAGTTCATTTTGAGGCGACTCAAAAATCGAGGAGAATGGGGTTTGAAGGGGTGGAGTTCATTTTTGAGGCGACTCAAAAATCGAGGAGAATGGGGTTTGAAGGGGTGGAGTTCATTTTTGAGGCGACTCAAAAATCGAGGAGAATGGGGTTTGAAGGGGTGGAGTTCATTTTTGAGGCGACTCAAAAATCGAGGAGAATGGGGTTTGAAGGGGTGGAGTTCATTTTTGAGGCGACTCAAAAATCGAGGAGAATGGGGTTTGAAGGGGTGGAGTTCATTTTTGAGGCGACTCAAAAATCGAGGAGAATGGGGTTTGAAGGGGTGGAGTTCATTTTTGAGGCGACTCAAAAATCGAGGAGAATGGGGTTTGAAGGGGTGGAGTTCATTTTTGAGGCGACTCAAAAATCGAGGAGAATGGGGTTTGAAGGGGTGGAGTTCATTTTTGAGGCGACTCAAAAATCGAGGAGAATGGGGTTTGAAGGGGTGGAGTTCATTTTTGAGGCGACTCAAAAATCGAGGAGAATGGGGTTTGAAGGGGTGGAGTTCATTTTTGAGGCGACTCAAAAATCGAGGAGAATGGGGTTTGAAGGGGTGGAGTTCATTTTTGAGGCGACTCAAAAATCGAGGAGAATGGGGTTTGAAGGGGTGGAGTTCATTTTTGAGGCGACTCAAAAATCGAGGAGAATGGGGTTTGAAGGGGTGGAGTTCATTTTTGAGGCGACTCAAAAATCGAGGAGAATGGGGTTTGAAGGGGTGGAGTTCATTTTTGAGGCGACTCAAAAATCGAGGAGAATGGGGTTTGAAGGGGTGGAGTTCATTTTTGAGGCGACTCAAAAATCGAGGAGAATGGGGTTTGAAGGGGTGGAGTTCATTTTTGAGGCGACTCAAAAATCGAGGAGAATGGGGTTTGAAGGGGTGGAGTTCATTTTTGAGGCGACTCAAAAATCGAGGAGAATGGGGTTTCGAAGGGGTGGAGTTCATTTTTGAGTCGACTAAAAAATCGAGGAGAATGGGGTTTGAAGGGGTGGAGTTCATTTTTGAGGCGACTCAAAAATCGAGGAGAATGGGGTTTGAAGGGGTGGAGTTCATTTTTGAGGCGACTCAAAAATCGAGGAGAATGGGGTTTGAAGGGGTGGAGTTCATTTTTGAGGCGACTCAAAAATCGAGGAGAATGGGGTTTGAAGGGGTGGAGTTCATTTTTGAGGCGACTCAAAAATCGAGGAGAATGGGGTTTGAAGGGGTGGAGTTCATTTTTGAGGCGACTCAAAAATCGAGGAGAATGGGGTTTGAAGGGGTGGAGTTCATTTTTGAGGCGACTCAAAAATCGAGGAGAATGGGGTTTGAAGGGGTGGAGTTCATTTTTGAGGCGACTCAAAAATCGAGGAGAATGGGGTTTGAAGGGGTGGAGTTCATTTTTGAGGCGACTCAAAAATCGAGGAGAATGGGGTTTGAAGGGGTGGAGTTCATTTTTGAGGCGACTCAAAAATCGAGGAGAATGGGGTTTGAAGGGGTGGAGTTCATTTTTGAGGCGACTCAAAAATCGAGGAGAATGGGGTTTGAAGGGGTGGAGTTCATTTTTGAGGCGACTCAAAAATCGAGGAGAATGGGGTTTGAAGGGGTGGAGTTCATTTTTGAGGCGACTCAAAAATCGAGGAGAATGGGGTTTGAAGGGGTGGAGTTCATTTTTGAGGCGACTCAAAAATCGAGGAGAATGGGGTTTGAAGGGGTGGAGTTCATTTTTGAGGCGACTCAAAAATCGAGGAGAATGGGGTTTGAAGGGGTGGAGTTCATTTTTGAGGCGACTCAAAAATCGAGGAGAATGGGGTTTGAAGGGGTGGAGTTCATTTTTGAGTCGACTCAAAAATCGAGGAGAATGGGGTTTGAAGGGGTGGAGTTCATTTTTGAGGCGACTCAAAAATCGAGGAGAATGGGGTTTGAAGGGGTGGAGTTCATTTTTGAGGCGACTCAAAAATCGAGGAGAATGGGGTTTGAAGGGGTGGAGTTCATTTTTGAGGCGACTCAAAAATCGAGGAGAATGGGGTTTCGAAGGGGTGGAGTTCATTTTTGAGTCGACTAAAAAATCGAGGAGAATGGGGTTTGAAGGGGTGGAGTTCATTTTTGAGGCGACTCAAAAATCGAGGAGAATGGGGTTTGAAGGGGTGGAGTTCATTTTTGAGTCGACTCAAAAATCGAGGAGAATGGGGTTTGAAGGGGTGGAGTTCATTTTTGAGGCGACTCAAAAATCGAGGAGAATGGGGTTTGAAGGGGTGGAGTTCATTTTTGAGGCGACTCAAAAATCGAGGAGAATGGGGTTTGAAGGGGTGGAGTTCATTTTTGAGGCGACTCAAAAATCGAGGAGAATGGGGTTTGAAGGGGTGGAGTTCATTTTTGAGGCGACTCAAAAATCGAGGAGAATGGGGTTTGAAGGGGTGGAGTTCATTTTTGAGGCGACTCAAAAATCGAGGAGAATGGGGTTTGAAGGGGTGGAGTTCATTTTTGAGGCGACTCAAAAATCGAGGAGAATGGGGTTTGAAGGGGTGGAGTTCATTTTTGAGGCGACTCAAAAATCGAGGAGAATGGGGTTTGAAGGGGTGGAGTTCATTTTTGAGGCGACTCAAAAATCGAGGAGAATGGGGTTTGAAGGGGTGGAGTTCATTTTGAGGCGACTAAAAAATCGAGGAGAATGGGGTTTGAAGGGGTGGAGTTCATTTTTGAGGCGACTCAAAAATCGAGGAGAATGGGGTTTGAAGGGGTGGAGTTCATTTTTGAGGCGACTCAAAAATCGAGGAGAATGGGGTTTGAAGGGGTGGAGTTCATTTTTGAGGCGACTCAAAAATCGAGGAGAATGGGGTTGAAGGGGTGGAGTTCATTTTTGAGGCGACTCAAAAATCGAGGAGAATGGGGTTCGAAGGGGTGGAGTTCATTTTTGAGGCGACTCAAAAATCGAGGAGAATGGGGTTTGAAGGGGTGGAGTTCATTTTTGAGGCGACTCAAAAATCGAGGAGAATGGGGTTTGAAGGGGTGGAGTTCATTTTTGAGGCGACTCAAAAATCGAGGAGAATGGGGTTTGAAGGGGTGGAGTTCATTTTTGAGGCGACTCAAAAATCGAGGAGAATGGGGTTTGAAGGGGTGGAGTTCATTTTTGAGGCGACTCAAAAATCGAGGAGAATGGGGTTGAAGGGGTGGAGTTCATTTTTGAGGCGACTCAAAAATCGAGGAGAATGGGGTTTGAAGGGGTGGAGTTCATTTTTGAGGCGACTCAAAAATCGAGGAGAATGGGGTTTGAAGGGGTGGAGTTCATTTTTGAGGCGACTCAAAAATCGAGGAGAATGGGGTTTGAAGGGGTGGAGTTCATTTTTGAGGCGACTCAAAAATCGAGGAGAATGGGGTTTGAAGGGGTGGAGTTCATTTTTGAGGCGACTCAAAAATCGAGGAGAATGGGGTTCGAAGGGGTGGAGTTCATTTTTGAGGCGACTCAAAAATCGAGGAGAATGGGGTTTGAAGGGGTGGAGTTCATTTTTGAGGCGACTCAAAAATCGAGGAGAATGGGGTTTGAAGGGGTGGAGTTCATTTTTGAGGCGACTCAAAAATCGAGGAGAATGGGGTTTGAAGGGGTGGAGTTCATTTTTGAGGCGACTCAAAAATCGAGGAGAATGGGGTTTGAAGGGGTGGAGTTCATTTTTGAGGCGACTCAAAAATCGAGGAGAATGGGGTTTGAAGGGGTGGAGTTCATTTTTGAGGCGACTCAAAAATCGAGGAGAATGGGGTTTGAAGGGGTGGAGTTCATTTTTGAGGCGACTCAAAAATCGAGGAGAATGGGGTTTGAAGGGGTGGAGTTCATTTTTGAGGCGACTCAAAAATCGAGGAGAATGGGGTTTGAAGGGGTGGAGTTCATTTTTGAGGCGACTCAAAAATCGAGGAGAATGGGGTTTGAAGGGGTGGAGTTCATTTTTGAGGCGACTCAAAAATCGAGGAGAATGGGGTTTGAAGGGGTGGAGTTCATTTTTGAGGCGACTCAAAAATCGAGGAGAATGGGGTTTGAAGGGGTGGAGTTCATTTTTGAGGCGACTCAAAAATCGAGGAGAATGGGGTTTGAAGGGGTGGAGTTCATTTTTGAGGCGACTCAAAAATCGAGGAGAATGGGGTTTGAAGGGGTGGAGTTCATTTTTGAGGCGACTCAAAAATCGAGGAGAATGGGGTTTGAAGGGGTGGAGTTCATTTTTGAGGCGACTCAAAAATCGAGGAGAATGGGGTTTGAAGGGGTGGAGTTCATTTTTGAGGCGACTCAAAAATCGAGGAGAATGGGGTTTGAAGGGGTGGAGTTCATTTTTGAGGCGACTAAAAAATCGAGGAGAATGGGTTTGAAGGGGTGGAGTTCATTTTTGAGGCGACTCAAAAATCGAGGAGAATGGGGTTTGAAGGGGTGGAGTTCATTTTTGAGGCGACTCAAAAATCGAGGAGAATGGGGTTTGAAGGGGTGGAGTTCATTTTTGAGGCGACTCAAAAATCGAGGAGAATGGGGTTTGAAGGGGTGGAGTTCATTTTTGAGGCGACTCAAAAATCGAGGAGAATGGGGTTTGAAGGGGTGGAGTTCATTTTTGAGGCGACTCAAAAATCGAGGAGAATGGGGTTTGAAGGGGTGGAGTTCATTTTTGAGGCGACTAAAAAATCGAGGAGAATGGGGTTTGAAGGGGTGGAGTTCATTTTTGAGGCGACTCAAAAATCGAGGAGAATGGGGTTTGAAGGGGTGGAGTTCATTTTTGAGGCGACTCAAAAATCGAGGAGAATGGGGTTTGAAGGGGTGGAGTTCATTTTTGAGGCGACTCAAAAATCGAGGAGAATGGGGTTTCGAAGGGGTGGAGTTCATTTTTGAGGCGACTAAAAAATCGAGGAGAATGGGGTTGAAGGGGTGGAGTTCATTTTTGAGGCGACTCAAAAATCGAGGAGAATGGGGTTTGAAGGGGTGGAGTTCATTTTTGAGGCGACTCAAAAATCGAGGAGAATGGGGTTTGAAGGGGTGGAGTTCATTTTTGAGGCGACTCAAAAATCGAGGAGAATGGGGTTTGAAGGGGTGGAGTTCATTTTTGAGGCGACTCAAAAATCGAGGAGAATGGGGTTGAAGGGGTGGAGTCATTTTTGAGGCGACTCAAAAATCGAGGAGAATGGGGTTTGAAGGGGTGGAGTTCATTTTTGAGGCGACTCAAAAATCGAGGAGAATGGGGTTCGAAGGGGTGGAGTTCATTTTTGAGGCGACTCAAAAATCGAGGAGAATGGGGTTTGAAGGGGTGGAGTTCATTTTTGAGGCGACTCAAAAATCGAGGAGAATGGGGTTTGAAGGGGTGGAGTTCATTTTTGAGGCGACTCAAAAATCGAGGAGAATGGGGTTTGAAGGGGTGGAGTTCATTTTTGAGGCGACTCAAAAATCGAGGAGAATGGGGTTTCGAAGGGGTGGAGTTCATTTTTGAGGCGACTCAAAAATCGAGGAGAATGGGGTTTGAAGGGGTGGAGTTCATTTTTGAGGCGACTCAAAAATCGAGGAGAATGGGGTTTGAAGGGGTGGAGTTCATTTTTGAGGCGACTCAAAAATCGAGGAGAATGGGGTTTGAAGGGGTGGAGTTCATTTTTGAGGCGACTCAAAAATCGAGGAGAATGGGGTTTGAAGGGGTGGAGTTCATTTTTGAGGCGACTCAAAAATCGAGGAGAATGGGGTTTGAAGGGGTGGAGTTCATTTTTGAGGCGACTCAAAAATCGAGGAGAATGGGGTTTGAAGGGGTGGAGTTCATTTTTGAGGCGACTCAAAAATCGAGGAGAATGGGGTTTGAAGGGGTGGAGTTCATTTTTGAGGCGACTCAAAAATCGAGGAGAATGGGGTTTGAAGGGGTGGAGTTCATTTTTGAGGCGACTCAAAAATCGAGGAGAATGGGGTTTGAAGGGGTGGAGTTCATTTTTGAGGCGACTCAAAAATCGAGGAGAATGGGGTTTGAAGGGGTGGAGTTCATTTTTGAGGCGACTCAAAAATCGAGGAGAATGGGGTTTGAAGGGGTGGAGTTCATTTTTGAGGCGACTCAAAAATCGAGGAGAATGGGGTTTGAAGGGGTGGAGTTCATTTTTGAGGCGACTCAAAAATCGAGGAGAATGGGGTTTGAAGGGGTGGAGTTCATTTTTGAGGCGACTCAAAAATCGAGGAGAATGGGGTTTGAAGGGGTGGAGTTCATTTTTGAGGCGACTCAAAAATCGAGGAGAATGGGGTTTGAAGGGGTGGAGTTCATTTTTGAGGCGACTAAAAAATCGAGGAGAATGGGGTTTGAAGGGGTGGAGTTCATTTTTGAGTCGACTCAAAAATCGAGGAGAATGGGGTTGAAGGGGTGGAGTTCATTTTTTGAGGCGATCTCACAAAATCGAGTGAGAATGAGTTCGAAGGGGTGGAGTTCATTTTTTGAGTCGACTCAAAAATCGAGGAGAATGGGGTTTGAAGGGGTGGAGTTCAATTTTTTGAGGCGACTCAAAAATCGAGGAGATGGGGTTTGTAAGGCTGGCTAGGAGTTCAGTTTGAGGGCGACTCAAAAATCGAGGAGAATGGGGTTTGATAGGGGTGGAACGCTGCATTTTGAGAGCCGACTTCAAAAATCGAGGAGAATGGGGGTTTGAAGGGGCTGGAGTTCATCTTTTGCAGGCGACTCGAAATTCCGAGGAGAAATGGGGTTCTGAAGGGGTGGAGTTCATTTTTGAGGCGACTCAAAAATCGAGGAGAATGAGGGTTCCGAAGGGGGGAGTCATTTTTGA